TTGTGACCAGGTGTCCAGAACATCATGAGGACGGTTTCCACCTTGTTTTATCAAGACTCCAAACTAATGGAAGCAATTTGATGGAAACACTGTACCTCCCAAAGTGCTCTACTCTTACCGAATTTCAGCAAATTGCTGGGACAAAGGTAACTAGATGTTGGGCTACCTGACCTCTGTTTTTAATTCAGAAAAAAAGTTGCAACTTAACAAAGATGAAGGGAAGGTTTATTTGAAATGTCAACATGGTGCATTTTATTCATCTGGTGTGGTTCCATGTAGTTGAGTGTTCAGTGGCTTTGGGTGAATCTTGAATCAAAAGCTGAAACCTTTGAAGCTGGGAATATATCAGATCAGGAGTTCCCAAACTGTAGACTGCGGCACCTGGATGGCTGGGGCTACCCATGTAGACTGTCAGCTCAGCCCTGCACAGCTGTGGTGTTGCTTGACTTCCCACTGATTTGAAAGGGCCTTGTGCAAAAGAACTTCCTACTCGGTTGCTTCTTGTGTGTGTAGGACTATTGTGTGTGTGTCATCACAATGATATCCCATCTTTTCTACCCAGAGCTCAAGGTGGGGTGTGTGGTTCTTTCCCCTCCCACCTCCCCTTTCTATCAGCACAACAACCCTGTGAGGTAGGCTTGGCTGAGAGGCAATGACTGGCCCCCAAGGTCCCACCCTCCCTGTGAAATTCCTAGCTAAGTGGAAGTTTTGAAGCCCTGAAGTTGCCCCAGGCCCCCTGGTGGTTTTGATCACTATTTCTTTACTTCAGTTTCTAAGAGGACAAGAAATCCAGCAAGTAAAGATGCACAAAAATATCGGAATTTTATTCCAGAGCAACTTAGGTTGGTCAAACCATACTAGTGCTATAGAACAGGCAAAGTGTACCTCCTCAGCAGTAGCTTCTCTTTATTTTGAGAAAAGTAACCAATTTGTACTAGCTGCTATTCAAATTTTTCAAGCTAAAGTGTCATCCCAGCTACTTGGGATCCCAATATGGATACAAGGATATAACAGTGATTTAGATAAGATACACTCAAGTTTCTTGAGACGTATCCTGGGGCTCCCTAGTTCAACCAATCGTGAGACAATGTGTGCAGAACTAGGTGTAGGCTAGCACTTTAAAAACTTTAAAATATAGCTGTGTTGCCATATCCGTTGCCAATCTTGGAGTCTGCTTTCCGACTTGCTTAAGGACTCTTATAAATCCAGATTGCTCCAAGTTGTACATAGCAAAACCAGGTTGATTTGTACTGACTTGGAACGCTTGTATAATTCAAGTGAGCAATATATTTATCGTAATATTCAAATCAGATTAAGGGACATTGAAAAACAAAACATCAATTCAGCTGTATACATCAAGTTTGCTCCCTCAAATTTTAAGGTTTAAATGCAACAGATAACAGGGTCACTTATATTTCAAAAATTAATAATTCCAGTCCAAGACAAGACCTTTATGTTAGCCCAACTGAACGTTTTCCCCTCAGCTTTTGTCAAGGGCAGATATTTAAACACCCCCAGAAACGATAGACATTGCAGATGTTTTCTGAATGTTCCAGACACAGTAGAACATATTCTTTTTCTACTGTCCATTGTACAACCAGCTATGCAAAAACGTGCTATCCCCCTTTTTGAGTAGTCTAACATCACGGCACAATGAAAATATCAGATTCTATATGTCTGACATTAGCCGGATGTAACTGCAAGGGTGGCTGAGTTTTTATCTTTTATCTTGTTTATATAATATTTATTAAATTTTCAATTTTAACAATCCAAATTAAACCACATTAAAACCATTCCAAATTATAATCCAATCAAACAGTCCAGATTTTACGCCAAATTATAAGTCTTTGGGTGGATTCCCATGCTCTTGGGGTCGAGGAGCAATGCTCTCACATAGTGCTGCATTCCTTATTTAGGCGGTAATTCCAGTAAAACAATCTGAAGTTAATCCCTCAGTTATTTTTAACAGCCTCTGAATTCGTCCAACAAGCAGCTCAGTCCTATAAAGTTCTATGTAAAAGATTTCTTGCTGGTTTTCCCCTTTGTTTCCCTTTTTATAATCCAAACAATCTATGCTCAGCATTCACTTTCGTTTTCTCTCGGAGGCAATTCTTGATGTGACGCAACTCAGAACTGAAAGGAATCTGGATCTCAGCCATTTGCACCGGATATATATCCATGCTTAAGGAAATCAGCCCTGAGTGGTCACTGGAAGGACAGATCGTGAAGCTGAGGCTCCAATACTTTGGCCACCTGATGAGAAGAGAAGACTCCCTGGAAAAGACCCTGATGTTGGGAAAGATTGAGGGCACAAGGAGAAGGGGACGACAGAGGACGAGATGGTTGGACAGTGTTCTCGAAGCTACAAACATGAGTCTGACCAAACTGCGGGAGGCAGTGGAAGACAGAAGTGCCTGACGTGCTCTGGTCCATGGGGTCACGAAGAGTCGGACACGACTAAACGACTAAACAACAACAACAACAAATATATCCAAAATTCTTTTTTTATCTCCTTCCAACTGAATAATGAACCGGTGCTTCAGTGGAAACCCATAAATCCTGTCATCAATACTTTTTATCATCCCATTTAAGGTGCTTACCAAATGTAATCAGGGAAGTTTTTAATATGTGACATTTTAGTGTATTTTTCATCTTTGTTGGAAGCCACCCAGAGTGGCTGGGGAAACCCAGCCAGATGGGCGGGGTACAGATAATAAATTATTATTATTATTATTATTATTATTATTATTATTATTATTTTGTCCAGTTTCACATAATCAGTTCTATAGTAAACGCATAATCATAATGATAACGAAGTGTTCACTCAATCCTGCTTGTGTACTTTGCAGTCAGGCAGGCAGTCTTTCCAGGGGAGATTTGCCAAATCAGCAAATGCAAAGTATATCAAAAAGAAATTATGGAGACTCACCACCCCCCTTCGATTCTGACATACCAGTCCAATTGTGATGGTAATCCTTTTTGTTCTCCAGGTCAAATCCTTGGCACCCAGTGGCTGAATCAATTGGCAGAATACTTTATCTCCTCTAGTCCAGAGCACACCTGTTAATTAAGTCTGAACTTCATCTTAAAAAGCAGGTGTTTGCTACTTGTGGCGACGGCTATGGAGAGCTGCCAAAAAACCACACGGCGCTTTACACCCAGCGCCCCCTCCCCCATCATAACTTCCTGACTGGGAGCAGGTCTTGGGCGATCTGCGGATGAAGCTGGGGGGGGTGTGAGGATGATTACTCCCATCTCATCCTCAAAAATTCCATACAAAACAGCTCTGATGTAATGGGTTGCCTCTTGCCATGGCAGCCAAACAGGAAGTTAGGTGGCTGAGTTTTTATCATTAGTATCTCCAAGAGTGGTGAATGGCACTATTTACTGGGAAGAAACTCCAGTGAAAATCCTCACTATTACATATTTTTACATGGCTGTTTATTTCTTTATATTTTATAATTTTATATATGGATGTTTTTCGATGGCCTATATTTGTAATGCCTAATAAAGTTTTTTGACCAAACTGCGGGAGGCAGTGGAAGACAGGAGTGCTTGGCGTGCTCTGGTCCATGGGGTCACGAAGAGTCGGACACGACTAAACAACTAAACAACAACAACAATAAAGGTTTGGTGAAGAAGAAATACTTCAGTTTTATCCAGCTCTTCCAAAGGGGGCAACCAGATCTCTCTCTTTGATTGCACAGCCACATATTTAGGCTGAGATGGTGGCATCTGTAAGACATTTAATTTACGCCAGAGCCTATACTTGGGTAATATTAGCAGCAACCCAAAAGTCACAAAGTTTGGTCCTCTCCAGAGTCATCTCAGGACAGAAAGAAATGTCTCCCCTCCCCAACTATATCACCATTGCATTATATCAGTATATCAGTTTTTCAAAGTACATTTGTTTGTGTCTTTATTTTCTGGTATAATTGGTATAATTTTCCCCAGAGTATCTTAATAATTTTTTCATTATTGAAGTTTGTTTCCATTCCCCCCCAGCTTACAAATACAATATTTTGCAAAGAAATGGATGACTCATCATTTTAAAAAAAAAGCTTTTTCAAAGCTCTACTGCTTAAATTTTAAGCCTTAAAACTGCTAATTGACAAAACAACACAAGTTTTCACCAGGTTCATGGGGATCACCACTTGTGTTCAATTGGCATGTGCGGTTAACACTTACACCTGCACCAAAAACTGCACTGAAAGGGGGTGGGGTGGAATGGGACAGGAGTGGAACAGGGCAATGCCCTGTAATGGAACCCCATTGTAAGTGGCTCCCACCGAAGGAATGCGGTTGGTCATAGGTGCTGTAGACTCAAAAAAGTTGAAAACCACTGGTGTAGGGTTTACTCCTAAGCCTTTTCTTCTCCTGAAGATATCCCACAAAGCAGTGGAGGTTTAGGGTCAGCTGGTTTATCCCTCACCTGGTTTAGCTAGCCATTCAAAGCCATTTCCTGGGGTGTGGATGCTGTCACTTGCTTCCAGCAGCCACAGGTGCAAGGGGGGCAAAGGTGGACAAACTACCCCAGAATGAGCACAATGTGTCCTCCACCATAGGTAAAACCCTCCCCTAACAACTCATGCACCCCACATTAAGTATACAGAAACATGATTGGGTTCTAGGGCACCCTTAAGGGATCTGACTTTGCATTATGCCTTTACCCCTAAGAAACAAAGGACTTACTGTGTTTTGACCTTGGATTATGTCTGGACCTCGCCTTTCATGCTACACCTGTGTTTTGGCTTTAGAATGTGAATGGTCTTGGGACAATTTGTCTTGAGGGTTCCTGACATCAAGGAGGAAGTTTCAGTCTATAGACCTTTCCCAACCATACAGATTTTTGGTTCCTTGGAATTCCTGAGAACCGCCAGGTACAAGCTGCTAGTGAATTTTTAATTGAATATTCCTCAGAATCAAAGCTTCTGGAAACATTTCAATGGTGGGGGTGGGTGAGCCAAAGAAATCAGTCACTAGTTAAGTCAGGATGTAACTGGACAGACAATTGAGATCTTTTATCTGATCTCTAGTTTCTTTACATATTTGCAGATAATAGTGGTGTAATGGAAAAATGAGCCTTCTAGACTGAGCACATAACAATGCCAGAAAGTGTAATGCTTTTCTCTTCATTCAGCTTTCCTAGTGGAACTAGTTCCCCCTACTAAAGAAAAACCAAAACTAAAACCTGTGCCATTAGGCGAAAACTATTAATATCCCAGATTACAATTTTCTTCTCGTTCTTGGCCTTCAGAAGTTAACATTCATTGTGCCATCACTGCATAGAAATTATTCACTTGAAAAGCCCCAATGCAAGAAACAGAATTTGTCTGCTTTATCAATTTATTCAGATCACAATTCAAATGGAAATCCCTGTGCCATATTTTCTCTAACTACATCTCCCAAATCTCAATTTCCTGCCCTCTTGCACCTGCCTCCAGCATCTCTAGAGATCTTCCACACCCTGCCGCTGATAGCACAGTTTCCTCCCAAGTCCCACGAAGGGCACATCTACAGGCCAGAAGTATAGGATGATGGCTGGGCATCAACACATGTCGCTTGGGTGACATTGAACCTCAGCAAGACATTCAGTCTTCGCCTTACTCCTGTTGGGAGTGTTGTTATGAAATTACAGAAATCTGGTGTTGCACATCCTTTGAAAGCAGCCCACACTTGACTTGTACCCGCTAGAAAGAGAAGAATGTTAATATGAGTCAGGGTGGATTTAAGGACCCAGCACACTTGGGGAACCTGCAGGACCCTTTTACCCCCACCCCTGTTATGTTCCCTGAAAATTCACAAGATGTAATTTCATCCCCCCCAAAAAGACACTGAAATGAAAGATAAAGCAGAGTAATATGAGTCAGGTTTGGCATCAGGGCGTGGCATTCTTGGGCAAATTTCAGGACCATGGCACCTGAGAACGGCCCACTTCTGATGTCTTCCACGAGCCCTGCTTTCCCTTTCTTCCCTGTCTACTTGTACTCTGACCAGATCAAGGCTATTGGGTGAAGCCCACATTTGCGAATTTAGCCACCAATTTAATTTTCCCCAAAGCCCACAAGACAACATCCCTCCAAGGCATGTGGAAACTCAAAATGGGAATGACAGCTTTATACATGTTTGCTTCCATGCGATCAGGGATTTCCCAGCACTGTCTGGGGGCGGGTCAACACCATGCCATTGACTGAGGAATGGGGCAAGCAGTGTAAAAAAAACTTTAAATTCATCCCCTCAAAGAAAACGCAGGTCCCCACCCCATCCTTTGCTTTTATCACATTTGGTCAGAAAAGGGTCAGGTAGCTGATGGCTGAGAGCTGCTTTCCCTCACCCCCCACCCTCTGCTGATTGGCAGTTCTACTCACCTTGCTGCATGAAACCAGCAAATGTTATGCACTTAGTCTCTCCAATAGGGCAGTTATGGGTGTCGATGACCACACAATCATTTGCATTCTTTGTGAAACAGAATGGGCACTGCAGTGGACCAAAACTCTCAGGTTGCACTGGCAAAATGAAATTTATGGTTAGCAGATGGATTCCATTTATTCTGACATGACTGGTCCATTCTGGCCCTTATTTTGCAGTTTGTACAAAGGGTTATCACTCCCCCCCCCGGCAAGGTGTTCTAAAAGTGCCATCCAGCTGGGAAAATCTAATATAAATATTGTTGAGTGTTGCTCATGAGTATGGCTTCTGTATGTAACATATGCAGGTCTTTCTCAGAACATGCATCTTGGTGTCTACCTGCTTCTGCATGAGAGTCATCTGAATTGTGTGAAATGAGATTGACAATTCTGCCAGCCAAGACAAAAGCAGATTGGCACTGATCCTTACCAGCCTATGAGATGAAACAAGGCTTGCCCATAGATTCTAGGATCCAGGCTTACTGTTTTGAATGGAAGATGATACTTTTCTACTATCCATGATAGGCATTTATAGTGGTTTCAGGTTCAGTCTTGGAGTGATCATTGTGATTATCACCATTAACAAGATCATTTGTTGGGAATGATGCTACTGGGTACATACTGGTTTGCTGTGGGCAACAGCCGCCCTGCCCCTAACAATGAAATGAAAATGCTACAACATTCAGTCAAATCTTAAATAGGATCTAGTTTTGACATGTTAGAAGGGTTGTTGCTTCTTTCATTAAACTTCACGGAATGTGACAATAGTAACACATCCAGTTATAAATAAAGTCACACTAATAAATATGTCAATTCCCCTCACCCTCATATATAAATTGATAAATGTGTGCACATCTCTTGATTTTCCCAGACATGCAAAAACTATCACTTGCTTTTGAGCTGGGAAATTTGATGACCAAATAGAAAACCACAAGATCCCCACATCAGATTTTATGGGACTCGTGAAGAGGAGTCCAATTGCTTTCCAGAGACACTAGGAAGACAAACCTTTCACCCAGTTATATTTTGCCTCTGCAACAAAGTAAGCAAAACACAACACAAAGGAATACAGAGAAATAAAGAAACACAGCTCACATAACCCTGTATGCAATTACATAGAACTTCTCAAAGACAAAATGTAAAAACAAGACATTTATACTCCACCAAGTGTCTGTTTCTTTAAATATAACCTTTACATAATATATACCAGGCACGTCCAACTCCCAAGAGACTGTGATCTACTCCCAGTATATATAAAAAAATGGCAGTGATCTACCCATTGTCATTGGAGGGAGGAGGATTCCCCAGAGTTGTTGAGTTTTTTTAAAGGGAAGAGTGACCAGAGTTGGTGAGCATTTTTGCGGAGAACTGCAAAACCAAAATCATGTTCAAGTACAATATGGGATGTCTCAAAACCAAAGTTCCAGCCAAATGTATCTTCATTCAATCAAGAGAATAGAACCGCTAGAAATATACTTGTTGCTAAAATGTGTTCTCCCTAACAGAGAGCACGTGTTGCGGTGGGGGCCAGCAGGCCACCCCACTGTTGCTGGCCAGACCCGTTTGGATGTCCACGGGCAGTGATTGGGTAATTTGAGTCTCTGGGGAGACTTCGATGTTGCCAAATTGGAGGTGGGGTCAAAGGTTTCAAATACTGGGCACGCAGCCTTCGGCATCCTCTTGGGCTGTGTGCACCGGATCACCCGCCCACCCTCCCTGAATTGGGGGGGGGGGTTGTTTGCTTTGACCTTGCTGTGCCTGTCATGGGGTTGCCTGCTGTTGGGGCAGGGGCCTGGTAGGAATTTTGTCCATTTGGCTGATTGGCTGGTGCCATTTGGTTTTTGCCTACTGCGTAGCAAATCATCACAACTTGTAAGGTTTGCGGTTAGGCATTGGTTAAAATTGGTGGGTGGAGGGGTAAGTGCCTACCCCTCCAATGGTGGTGCTGCAAGGGAATTCTGTTAAAAGGGCTTGCCATCCTTTTCGTCCAAGTCCCTGGCATTGGGCTTGGGCCATGCAAGCCCCGGGAGCATGCGGGTGAGAAGTGAGGGTCTGTTGCCCAGCTTCATTTCTCCCCAATATTGTTTTCCCTGACTGGCTTCAGCTGGAATCCAGAAGTCAGTTCTGTCCCTGGGGCAAGGACAGATAGACGTAACCAATGCCTAAGCAACCACTCACATGTGTGTATTTAAATAAAGTTGTGGCCAAAATCATGCCAAAAAACCTTAAACAAAATTGATGTGTGAAGTGTGAGTTTATTTGGGGTGGCTTGGGGACCTCGACACACAAAGGATAATCCACACACTGGATGAAAGCAACCCATTTTCCAGTGAGTGTTGTAGCCTTACTATCAATCACTCAAACCACTGTGATAGAGCCTCAACTGTGTGAAATCCCAAGTGGGACTCCGACGACGAGATCACCGGATGCAAATGTTTCGAATGTCTTCTTCCAGTCAGCCCACAATGGTTCAAGTAGGTAAGTCAGCTCCATACACATTCTGTAAGGGCTGAAGTATATTATTCATATATTATGGAAAGGCTATATTTAAAGGAATGGACACTTGGTGGAATATAAGTGTCTTATTGTTACATTTTGTCTTTGGGAAGTTCTATATTTTGCCTCTGGGCAAGAATTGTTGATACAGAAAGTGCCCAAAATACTAGGGCCCTTACATTGAATAGGGTTTTCGTTGCATACGTCAGTATTGCAGCATTCAGCTTGCATCCGAAAGAATCGGGGGGTTCCTCCAGAAATAGAAAAGGTGCCTGGGATACAATCCTGAGTGTTAGCGCAGTCACTGTAAGTAAGGCTGAGGTTATCTTCAGCAACTGTGAAGAAGAATTAGAGAGGAATATCAAGTCAATCATTTTTGCCCCAGATTTTTTTATTTGGAGATTTAATAGATACATAAAATGGAAAGTGTTTAGTTTGATGCTGTGCACTGGTGTTATAAGAGTGGTGTCATGGGCTGACTGGATGCAGAGGCAAGGCAAGAAGCACCAGGTGGGGAACCCCCAAGGGAAGAAGGCTCAGAGCCAGGGGCTTTGTTGTGGGACAATGAGTGGTCAGAGGGATAAGAGGGAGATGGAGGTGTCAGAAACTGAAAAGATAACAGGGTTTAGTGAGCAGGAAGAATCTGAGGGAGAGAGCAGTCAAGAACCAGAGGCGGAAGAGAATGGGGTCCAAGAGGCAGCAATGACTCAGGCCAGCGAGGAAGCCAAGCTGTCTCTCCTTCCTGCGCCAGGCAGCTCCCCTTCCCCCCAGTCTCCCAGAATCTGGAGAGGTAAGAAGATGGTGGGGAAAAGATGGGCAAGATGAAAGTTAGCTGACTTGTGCCAATACATGCAGGTCCCTCAATGTGTTCCCTGGTCATTCCTTAGTCAAGCATTGGCTTTATGAGTTCATTATTTCCATTAATTCCTATGGGAACATTTTTAATCCAGGGTTTCTCTGATCTCCCCAACCCCTTTTCAATTATTTATTCCTGAAATGGCTGCAGCCAACCAGCAAAAGGGAAACAGAGGAGAAACTGATTTCTCTGATCTCTCCTGCTCCCTGAATTGGCCGATCTCTCCTGCTCTCTGATATGTTTGATCTCCCTCCCTCCCTCCCTCCCTCCCTGCATGACTTCTGCCCAAAAATAGCTGCTGCCAACCTGCAAAGCATAAACAAGGAAGGAAGGAAGGAAGGAAGGAAGGAAGGAAGGAAGGGGGCAAACTTTGGCTTTTCGAATATATAAATCTGCAGAGAATATAGCAAGGTTTGGGCAAAATGTATTACATTCAGATAAGCGAATTTTAACATTGTAAAAATGTAAAAATGATAGCAGGACCTAGGGGGAGCAAGGAAAATCATTTTAAATGTAATGTCACTTTTAAAATGGAGATTGGGGTGATGGGCAGTCATACCCTGGTGGTTCTCCCAAATTGGACAAAGAGGCTACGACTGAGCCACAGGGGACTTCCGGTCGGCGCCATCGGTTAATGGCGGATTTCCCTCCGAGCTCCGGAGGGGGTCTGCTTTACAAGTTCGGGTCCTGCCGCTACGGCGAAGCGGGGACCCTCAAAAATTACAGGCGCGGAAGCCTGTGAACAAGGAGGCTCGGTGGGCACCATCGCGCCCCCCCGAAATCGCAAGGGAGCCTTTTTAAAGGCTCCGGAACGGCAGCGGGGGGAGAAGCGGTGCTGAGAGCCGATACCCAGCTTGTGAAGCGAAGCCGCATCGCCATAGCCGGAGAGCGCCGATTCCTTCCTGAAAATTGGATTATAAAGCAAAACTCGTGAGTAAGACTGAGACCTAATTGGGATTTACAACTATCCTTTTGAAATTTGGCTGAAAACGGGACTGGTTTAAAGTAAGGAAGTCAGCCTTTCCCGGACTGCATAAGGATAAAGCAAAGAAGGATTAAAGCTGTAACCATTGAGAGATCGCAAAGAGTTAAGAGAACCAGACATAAACTGTGAACTTCCCCCCTTTTGGTAGGCAGGAGCAAAAGGGGGAGGAAACTGTGATTAGAACCTGCCAGAAAAGGACTTTAAAAACTTTTCACCACTGTGTCAAACACCCCTGAAACGGACTGCCGGGGCAAAGGAACCTGGAGAGAGAGAACTGTCAGTGAACTGTCATTTGGATTGTTACATTGTTTTAAACTACTCAGCTCAGGAGAGATACTAAATTACAGGTTTGTTGAACTCTGAAAATATAAGAACTGTTACAATTGACTACTGGGAAACCTCAGGGGAATTTTTGGCTGTAAGACATTTTGTGTAGTTTTGGAAACTTTCTTCCCCTAGAGGGCACTTTGATAATTGTTGCAAATTGGATTGTAACTACTAAGGCAGTGGAAATTTCCTTGAAAACAACTAACAGCTGTGAGAGTGACCTTGGCTAGGCATGAGTGGTGCACCAGAAGAGACAACAACCAGGTCTGGGAGACAATACAAAGTAAAATCTTCACAGCGAAGAGTTTCAGTCCCAGGCATCCCAGTGGCACCAGCTGCAACTGGTCAGACAAGAACAATAATGTCATCAGATCCTGTAACACAAGCTTTGGTTAAAATAAATGAGTCTTTGGAATCTTTGACAAAGCAGGGGGTGGAAAATAGCAGAAAATTGACAGAACTCTCAATTAAACTTGATCAGAATACACAAAGTGTGAATGAATTAGGGAAAAGGGTGACATCTAATACAGAATCTATTAATAAAATACTAGAGGACTCTGCCAATATACGTAAAATCGCAGAAGAAGCCAAAGTCTCTGCTGATGAGGCTAAAGTCTCGGCGGATGCTACACAGGAAAAAATTGTACCAGTTTGCAAAAAGTTAGAAGATCACACATTGGCCCTGTCTATGCTTGAATTGCAGAGAAGAGACAGAAATTTAAGACTACGAGCGGTGCCTGAAAGTGAAGGAGATAACTTGGCGAACTTCCTTTCTAAAGAATTTATGGATTTTTGGCAACAGGAGTTAGAGAAAGAAGAAATTAAAATAGTCACTGCCTTTAGACTGGGAAGAGCACAAGGCAGGAAGAAGCCAAGGGATTGCCTAATAACATTAGGATCAAGAGAAGAGAGAGATAAAATATTGAGCCTGCATTTTCAAAGAACACTCGAGATCGAAGATTCTTTTGTGGAGATTTTTAAAGATATTCCAAAGGAAATTCTAGACGCAAGAACAAACTATAAAGAACTGGTCGGATTGCTGAAGAAGAACGAAGCACCTCTCAGGTGGGAATTCCCGCAAGGCCTATCTTTTAAATTCAAAGGTAGGAAAATAAGGATAAGATCAGTAGAAGATCGAGATCAATTTTTAAATCACTATAGGGAAGACCTTCTGAAAGGAACAGTCGGAGAGGAAATAACACCAGAATCGAAAGACGCAACAGACATTTTAAACTTGACGTTTGGATTGAAATCACCAACAAAAGAAGAACAACTACTTGGAGCAACAGGAGGCAAATAGCTTCAGGATGGCCCTGCAACTTCTAAGTTGGAATTGTAACGGACTTAACCTTCCGCGAAAGAGGAAAAATATATTTCATTTACTGAAAAAAGAGCAGTTGGACTTAATTTGTCTACAGGAAACTCATATAACAAGATTGCATAGGAAACTACTCGTCAATAAGAGATTAGGCCAAGAATTTATTTCATCGGATAAAGTTAAGAAAAGAGGAGTGGTAATCTATGCAAAAGAAAAACTTTCCCCAAAGTTTATATTTAAAGATGAACAAGGAAGGTATTTGGCAATTGAAGTGCAAATTCAAGGTGAAAAATTTTTGATACTAGGGATTTACGCACCTAATGAAGGGAAGTCAGAATTTTTAAGAAGTTGCATGAGACATTGTTGGACTATTTGGATTACAAATTAATCATGATGGGAGACATGAATGGAGTGGTATCTACAAATATGGACAAAGCACAAAGACAGGTAATCACCAGAGATGGGAGACTACCAAAGACTTTCTTTGAAATAACTGAAAATATGGACTTGATTGATATTTGGAGAACAAGGAATCCTCTCGAGAGAGAGGGAACCTTTTCTCTGAAGCAATGATGACCTGGACCAGAATCGATCAAATTTGGATTACTAGTGGGTTGGCTCCAAAGATTAAAAAGTGGAAATCTGCCCAAAGACCTGCTCCGACCATAACGCCGTGAGGATGGAAATGAAACTTACAACAACTGGTCAATTCAGATGGAGGATGAATGACACCCTGTTTCGAGATGAGGAGATCCATAGAAAGGCCCAAAAAACTTTAAAGGACTATTTTGAAATAAATCTAAAAACTGATGTAGAAAAAAGAGTGATCTGGGACGCAAGTAAAGCAGTGATGCGAGGATTTCTAATTCAACAAAATTCTGTAAAAAAGAGAAAGCAAAATGAGAAGAAGGACAAGATCTTGGAAAAGATAAAAGAAGGAGAGAAGAAATTGAGATCAAAACCAAAGTCCCAGGAGATTTTGAGAGAGATTAAGTTATATCAGACACAATATATGGAATTGATGAATCAAGAGATTGAATGGAAGATAAAACAAATGAGACAAAAGACATTTGAATCTGCAGATAAATGTGGTAAACTTCTGGCTTGGCAATTGAAGAAAAGGCAGAAACTAAATACAGTTACAAGCCTAGAAGTGGATGGAAAGAATATATCTAAACCTAACGAGATAAGAAATTGTTTTTGAGTTATTTTAAAAACTATATTCACAAGGACCACAGAAGGAGGAGGATATAGAAGAATTTCTTAAAAGTATGGACTACAAAAATCTCTCACCAAAGTAAGGTGGATCTAAATCAGAGAATAACAGATCAAGAGATAGAGGGTGCCATTCAAAACATGCAACTGGGCAAATCTCCAGGACCAGATGGACTGACTTCCAGATATTATAAGGCTTTGAAGGAGTGGTTGGTACAACCATTAAAGGAAGTCTGTAATGAGATCTTAGAGGGGAAAAGGGCACCAGAATCGTGGAAAGAAGCGTACATTACACTCATACCAAAGACAGAGATTGAAAAGAATCAACTTAAGAACTACCGCCCAATATCATTACTTAATGTGGATTACAAAATTTTTGCAGACATTTTGGCAAAAAGATTGAAAAGAGTGCTGATGGAGAAGATTCATAAGGACCAAGCAGGCTTTCTCCCAAAAAGGCATTTATCAGACAATGTGAGGAACATAATAGACATTTTGGAATTATTAGAGGTGAATATAAACACTAAAGCAGTTCTGATCTTTGTAGATGCGGAGAAAGCCTTTGACAATATTTCTTGGAGTTTTATGAAAAAGAATCTTCATGGGATGGGGGTAGGCCAAGGATCCGAGAATGGTATGGGTGCCATATACACTGAACAAAAAGCTAAATTGATTGTAAATAATGTGATAACTGAAGAATTTAAAATAGAAAAAGGGACACGACAGGGGTGCCCTATTTCCCCATTACTTTTTATTTCTGTTCTGGAGGTGTTGCTAAATATGATTAGAGATGACCAGCAGGTCAAAGGTGTACAGGTCGGAGCGAAACAGTACAAGTTAAGGGCCTTTGCAGATGATTTAGTACTTACTTTACAAGAGCCAGACACTAGTACAAAAAGGGTGTTGGACCTAATCCAAGAATTTGGCCAGGTAGCTGGATTTAAATTGAATAAACAAAAGACTAAAGTTTTGGAAAAAAAATTTAACAGTCATGGAGAGGGAGAAGTTTCAGAATGAAACAGGTTTGACAGTGGTAAAGAAGGTGAAATACCTAGGGGTTTATTTGACATCTAAAAATTTGAACCTGTATAAAGACAATTATGAAAAATGTTGGTCGGAAATTAAAAAGATCTAGAAATATGGTCAAATTTGAAATTGTCAATGTTAGGCCGAATTGCAGTTATTAAGATGAATGTATTGCCTAGAATGTTATTCTTGTTTCAAACACTACAAATTCTAGACAAGATAGACTGTTTCAAGAGGTGGCAGAAGGATATTTCGAAATTTGTCTGGCAGGGCAAAAGCCCAGAATAAAATTTAAAATACTGACGGATGCAAAAGAAAGAGGGGGTTTGCCCTGCCGGACTTAAAACTGTATTATGAAGCAGCAACTTTTTGCTGGCTGAAAGAATGGATGCTCCTCGAGAATACAGACATCTTGGACTTAGAAGGTTTTAACAATACATTTGGTTGGCATGCATATTTATGGTATGATAAAATCAAGGTGCATAAGGCCTTTAAAAATCATATTGTCAGGAAAGCATTATATAACGTTTGGATAAGATATAAAGATTTGGTGGAAAGTAAGACCCTAGATGGTTGTCACCTTTGGAAGCCACGGCGTTGAAAAAGCTTAATATGGAAGCCGAATGGCTAAAGTATCGGGAAATTTTGGAACAAGATGGAGATAAGTTGAAGCTACAGAGCTATGAGAAATTGAAACCCAAAGTACGAGATTGGCTCCATTATTATCAAATAATGGAGGTGTATAAACAAGACAGGAAAATTGGCTTCCAGGTGGAGAAATCAAAATTAGAAACTGAACTGTTAGAACCCAATACTAAGAACTTGTCAAGAATGTATAATTTGCTGCTGAAATGGAATACACAAGATGAAACAGTTAAATCAGCTATGATTAAGTGGGCACAGGACATTGGTCATAACATTATGTTTGCTGACTGGGAATGGTTGTGGAACACCGGTATAAAATTTACGGCATGTAATGCCATAAAGGAAAATATTATGAAAATGATCTATAGGTGGTACATGACTCCAGTCAAGCTAGCAAAAATTTATCATTTGCCTGATAATAAGTGTTGGAAGTGTAAAGAAACTGAAGGTACTTTTTATCACCTTTGGTGGACGTGCCCAAAGATTAAGGCTTTCTGGGAAATGATATATAATGAATTAAAAAGGTACTTAAATGTACTTTCTTGAAGAAACCAGAGGCCTTTCTCTTGGGCATTGCCGACCAATTGGTATCAAAGAAAGACAGAACTTTTTTTATGTATGCTACGACAGCAGCAAGAATACTCATCGCAAAGTATTGGAAGACAGAAGAACTACCCACCTTGGAAGAGTGGCAGATGAAGGTTATAGACTATATGACATTGGCGGAGATGACCGGCAGAATCCGTGAGCAGGGGAAAGAGACGGTGGAAGAAGATTGGAAGAAATTTAAAATCTATCTAAAGAACTATCATAAAATTGAGGAATGTTAAAATGTCGAGGTTTGGAGAAAGAAAAGGAGATTACAGCGACATAAGATTAAGTTGAAGAAAAAAAAAATAAGAAAAATATATTTGATAAAATTATTTAGAATTTGCTGAAATAATTTTGGAAATTGGGATGTAGGAAGGGGAGATTTGGGGAAGTCCGAGAAGAGAGGGTTATGAAAAAAAAGGTTATGAAACTATACATGTTTGTATGTCTTTTTATTTGTTTGTATTGTATAAAACTTGTCTATAAAATCAATTAAAAAATTATATAAAAAAAAAAAAAAAACAAAGAGGCTACGACTGAGGAGCATGGATAAAATTCAGAAGTAACCAAAGATATCTTTTTCCATCAGAAAAGAACAATAATGATTTATGTGTCCCCTTGGCTTTTAAATTTTACAGCAGGAAGCTATTTAAGGCTGAAATCTGAACCCCCACACATCTGGGAGTAAGGCTCACTGAATTCATTGGGATTTGCTTCTGAGTTCACATAGTTAGGATTTGAATTTTAGTGCATATAGCATGAATTTGGTCAGAAACAACAATTCAGAAAGAAGAAAAGCAAAGAGCGCCTCTATACATCAATGAGTAGGAAATTATATACATTTAAAAAGTATGTACCTATTAATGTATCGTGGGTACACGTTTAAAAAGTAGTTCATTATAGAATCTGTGCCATGTTTTGATTGAGTGGGTGGATGGAAGGACATTTGATTGATTATCCATTCTCAGTGGATTCCTACAACATCCCATGCAGGAAGATGATGGGGGCCAGAAAGACTATACACTAGAATCTTTTCTAGGCCTGGTTCATGCCAGGGATCGTGCCTGATCCCAACAGCCAACCTCAGCATTCTCAATTTCAGCAGAACATCGAAGAAAATCAGATATAGAATTGTTGGTTTACAATATCTGACTGTATCATATTTAGGAGGCTCCTGAAAAATGGACTCCCACATACTCAGCCTTGAAGTGTTAAAAAACCTAAATCAATCTTTTAGCTTTTTCACTGAAGACAGAACATTTGGAGGGGAAAAGTCCTGGTTAAGAGATGAATCACTAAATATGTCAGTTGCTCCCCTTGTAATATCATCATAGAACTCATAAATCTTTCTGGAGAATCCTTCATCCCCATTAATAAAGTTGTAGTCCACATAATTCCTTCTGTGAGGAGAAGATGTTGAACGCAGGCAGACTCTTCTGTATATTTTACAGAAGACTTTTGGGCTGAGTCACATGTGTATGGATTTTACTGTAATTCTTTGATCGCAGAGAGCATGGTAATTTCTGAGTGTGTGGAAGGCCTCCGTTGAGAAGGGTTCTTTGTACATGGGTGCGGGGGGAAAGAAACCTTACTCACATATATTGCTTTGTAGAGCAACTTCACGGCAAGTATCTTCTGAACATTTACGTGCCTGTCGCATGAGACAAGTGTTGTTGTACAGATATAGACATGTCATACATTGTAGTGGCGCCCCTGCAGAGAGAAAGGAAGATCACAAAAGCTCAGTGTCCTGTTCATATGCCCCAGGCATCTCCATTTTGCTGACTCAAGAAAAAAAAGGTATAAAAAGACAGTTCTTGGATGCCAAGAGAAAACCCCAGTAGCAACTTAAAATCACAAAATAGACAGCAAAATAAACCCTTAATATATAACTTTCTAAGTTCTTTCCAAAGTTCTCTCTTTTAATTGCATAGAGAAAGACCACACATAATATCATAGGATTTTAAACTTGGAAGGGACCCCACAGGACATCTGCTCCAACCCCCTATGATGCAGGAATCTCAACTAAGCATCCATGATGGATGGCCATCCAGCCTCTGCTTAAAATCCTCCAAGAAGGAGAGTCCATAACTTCCAGAGGGAGACCATTCCACAGGTGTTTTTTTTTTAAAAAAAATCCGTACAAACTCCCCAAGATTCCCTGCAGTTGTGACTCTAAATAAGTAATTTGTTTACTCTAAATATTACGACTTCCTTGCATAAGTGTTTTGTGGACAGTCAAGCAATCTTCATAATGAGACGTTTCCTCTTGCATCTGTTGAAAGTATTTTTTAAAGTTCTGCCACATCTTGCTGAATCGACTTCAAGGCTTGAATCTGAGCCAGGATTTCCTTCAACAAGTTTGTATAAGAATCCTCCTCCGCCATTTCCCCTGGCTCGGCAGATAATGACGCAGCTGGAATTAAGCTAGCTGCTGTTTGCTTAGATCTCTACTCTTAACATGCCACTGCAGTTCTGGAGCAATAGCTCATTAAAAGCAAAATAATATGTGATGAGAAGTTTTATTCCCCACCCCCATCCCATTGCCTGCATGCCCAATTTGCTCCCTAATGGAGCAATCCACCCCTAGCATAGCATGCTGGCAAGTGCAGCAGGTGGAGGTAGGGGGCCACAGCAGCCAAGAACAGAGTCCAATGGATGCTGGGGCAGTTCAACCCCTCCATGACATCAGAACACTCCATTTAGGGACTTTTCCTTGACAGGAAGGAGATCTTTGCAGCAGGGGGAGCCTGCTTGGCATCAACATTCCTAGATTGCACTCCTTTGGTGTAGAGATAAATATGATAGTGTTAGGGGACTTTGGTAACTTGTATGATTCACTTTCTCATCACACCAAGATTCCCAGATTCTCCTGCTCTTCATCCTAATATCCATCTATTCAATACCCCATCCAGGAGCACATGAAGTTCTTGACCTCCTTTCACTAGCTCCACTGACCCCCTCACTATTCTAGAGGAAGTTAATGGAACACAGAATCTCTGGTTTCTACTCACCTACTGAAAACAAGCTCAAGAGGAGGCCTGTGCACAGAAGAATTCTCATGGTGTTGGGATAATCAAGAGCTGAGAAGGACTTCAAGAAGACCTGGTCCCAAAAAGGCAATGGATACAGCTATGAGCTTACAGACGAATTTATAGTCAGGGATGGGAGCCTCAAGCAGCACTTGCGAATGAAGTTTAATGAGACGTGGAAACTGGCACAAATGGAGGCAGCATGTTTTCCCAGAGAGCCTCTGATGTGATCTTGGAACACAAAGCAATTTTGAAATTGCATGCAATCTTTTCCAGGAACACCATGAAATTTTGGCAAATGAGAATCCACATTATCCCCAGTGTTCTTCATAGTGGAAACGGGAAAGCGTTTTCACAATCATATTCACAGGGGTCAGAGACCCCTCAAGTATCCTGATTTATTTGGGACATCACGGATTGGCAGAAGCTACCCCAGCTTCTGTTCCCAATCCTGAATGCCCCAATTTTGATCCCTCGCACCGGTCACGCCAGGTGTTTTAGGGTTCCGCTGTGGTGCGAGTCCACAAACAGGACCAAAAACAGGACCAAAAAATGGAAGGAAAACTTACCTTGACCTCCTCTTGTGGTGGTTCATCTCCAAGACCAGAGGAGGAGGTGTAGATAGCTGTGCTGCAACAGGAAACAGTCTGCACTGCATCAGGAGGTGCAGCGTAGGCTGGCAGGCCTTCGCCGCTCACATCTCCAGAAAAGTGGGCAATTTGATGTGGCCTACCGGAAGTCCAGCCTGGAATCTGCTGCTTCCAGAAAAGAGGGTGGTTTGGTGCAGCCTGCTGGAAGGCTGTCCTGGCCTCCGCTGCATGCTACACCAGACTCCACCACATCTCCCAACACTCCTGAGAAGGAGGAAGAGTGCTCAAAGGTAGGTGCAGTGCTTTTTTTCTGGGAGGACACAGGGGCACACATACTCCTAAACATGTTGTGAATCTAAGTTTTGCCACATTGAGGAGCAGTATTTCAATATGAGTAGGAAATGAGAGTAACCCTAAACATTTTTAGGGGGGAGCACTGGGAGAAGGGGCACGCACAAAGAACGGGGTGTGGTGGTTGTGGGCCCCGAATTGCCCTCCCAAAATGTTGGAGGGTATGGGGTCAATTTGTACATCACACAAGCTTCTCATCCAGGCAGTTTGGTATCTCTTGGACTTTACCCTTTCAGCCAAGCTACTTTGGATGGTCAATTATTTAGTATTCCAGAATTCATTTATTTTAAAAAATATTCTCCATTCTTAAGCAATAAGAGCTTTGCTATGGATGTTGGACTACCAGTCTTTTCAACGTAGACCAGAACTCTGCAAATAGGAATTGTTGTGGGCACTCTAATTTTGTGTCCCAAGCAGGAGCAAATTTTGAAGAATATTGAAAAAACCATCCCACACAGTGCTCACTACAGGAGTCCCACATGGAAGATCATAGTGTTGTTTTTAGTCTGTATCTATCTCTGTGTTTGGTGTGTGTGTGTGTGTGTGTGTGTGTGTGTGTGTGTGAGTGTGTGTGTGTTAAAAAAAGGTTGGGGTGTTTCCCTACTACTACAGACTTTGGTTTTAATGCAGGCCAAATCTGCAGAACCATTAATCCACTGTGAATGGTGCTGACAGGGAGCAAGGTGAATAAATTGCTTTCTCTCCTTTGGCTTAAACTGCATTTCCTCCCTTTTTCTCTCCGTTTGTTAATAACAACTATGTTTCTCTTCTCTCTAAGCTTAGTCTTCCCTCCCAGGGCCCCTCTAAGTGGCAAAAGCTTTGTTATCTCTTGGCCCACTCTTCAGGATTTTTTTTATTTTTTATTTTTTTTGCTGGAAATTGCTGGGAAAAGCTGAGGTGAAAGTAGCGGCCAGTCTAGCTTAATGCCACCATCCCTGTATTTTTAGGTGCTTCTGCCAAATCATCCTTGGCATTTATTCTATGCATCCTTCCTCTATCACAGTGATGGCAGGGGCGGAGGAAGGGGTGTGTGGTACAGGCGGGCCGCCCCAGGTGTCACCACTGAGGGGGTCACAAAATGCTGTGTGACATTCACCGCGGGGCCTGCAGTGCACTCAAGCCATGCATCTCTCCTGGGAGAGACATGGCGGCTTGGGAACCCACAGACTCCGTGCTGCCCCAAACAGTCCATCTACCGCCTCCCCCTCAGCTGTAGGGCAGCTGAGTGGGAGGAGACAGACAGACTCCTCAGAGGCCCCACAGAGCGTCCTGTCCCAGGTGAGTGATGGAGAAAGTTTTCATGTATTTCATGTACACAAGGCTTCCTTTACAAATTCTCGAGCATATATATTTGAGCCATGAGATGGCCTTATAGCTTTTTTACATCTCTATGAAATCCCAGTTTGGAGGCTTTTCAGAAGTTAATGAAAAGGCGTTGAATTTTGGCTTAGGTTAAGGGTGGGTTGTGCTGTTCCATATTTCATCTCATTTCAGAACTCAAGGAGCCACCAAAATTAATGTTCTTTGGCTGCTGGCATCCGTGAGCTGCAGCGAACATGTACAGAGTGTCAAGAAAATTGTTCGCCCACTTAGGGCCCTGGCCAAAAGCTGACAATTACTGGTATTCTGAGGCAGCTGTTTCATCTAGGTTTTCTGTCTTTGAGGCCAGGGATGAGGCCTGAAAACTTGGAAGCAGTTTCATCTGTGGGAAAGTGTATATGTGAAAGTACCAGGACATTCTAATTTTGAAGCCTGATTGCTTGAGGAAACTTACCCCAGTTAATATGCTTATTATTACAAAGCAAGCCTATACTGGTGGTTTGGGGTTAGGGTTAGGATCTGTCAATAGCACCCACGTCCACCCCTAACTGGAATCACCAGCACATTCTGAATATATTCCAAAGTACCTTCCTTAGAACAGGTTGGAGCATTTCCATAGAGAAGCCAATAATGTGTTTTCTGGGGCAAAATCATTACTTTTCACATGGCATGTCTACTGTGAAAAAATTGTTCTATCAGATAGTTCCCTCACCCAGGATCAGTTTATGGCCTCACTCAAATCCCACTGTCTTTATTGGCACTTGGCATGGGGGTCCAGTCTTTCTATGGTTTCTTGAGGCCCTTAACCAAGAGTAAACTGATGTTGGGAGACAATTATCAGCTGGCATAACTAGATGGGGTGGAGACCAGTGTCTGCAATATAGTGATGATGATCATCAGCCTCTTTTACTGGGATTGTAAGCTCACTGGTGTCGTTTGATGAAATGCTTGTTCCGGAACACTGTTCCAACCTGCGTGTTTTATTGCTACCCAATTTCATTGTTAATGTGGATCCTCCTAGGCTTTATATATATATCCATCACACACAGCAGTTAGAGTATGTTTCATGCACGCAATAGAGCATCCATGATGGATTAAAATGGATGAAATTATGCCATATCTGTGTCTCTTCTGTAGAAGCTGTGTGGACCTTTGATCACATTTTTGCTGTTTTAGATAAGACTAATGGAAACCTTAGCATCATGATAAGAGCAGTAGTAAAATATCTAGGCTACCAATGCAAAAGGGAAAGCATAAGATGTTTTGGAAAAGCAGCAATGGAGTGTGCCAACATGCCCATGACACAGCAGGGATCACAGTTGTTTATTTCCCACCCCTTACTGCATGCATCCATCCATCTTGCGAGACAATGGAGTGCCCCTACAGGGGTGAAGTCAAAGCACTGCATTAGCAGCAACAAAAGTGACACCTCTGGGGTGCAATCCTCAGCAGTGTGTATGGAGGTCCTGGGCTGCCCAGAGGATAAGGCACCTCTCTTGGCCTCACTGATGTAGTCCAAAAGAAAGCAGAGCAGCTGCCAGTGTTGCTGGAAGGAGGTGTACAAGACATCATCTGACAATCTTAAGGACTCTAGTCCAGATTTGTGTAGGGTTTACTCCTTAGCCTTATCTTCTCCCAAACATGTCCCGCAAGGCAGCAGAGCTTTAGGATCAGAGTTTTCCTTCTTCTAGATGGACTACCTACCCAGGTTGATGAGCCCCATCCACCCCTCACTTCCCTCTACAGCACATCTGTGGACATTGTCACATGCAACAGTTCCCAAACACTGGTGTTCCATGGCCTTCATTCATGTTGTCTGTGGGGATTTATGGAGAACTGGACTTGATGCCAACAGCCTTTCAAAGGGTTCTGTCAATAGGGATTATGCCTTTACCTCTGACAAACACTGCACTTACTGTTTCTTGACCTTGGATGGTTTCTGGACATTGCCTTTCAAGTTGCACCTGTTTCGGTGTTAGACCAGTTGGTTCTTTTTTTGATTGCTCCTGTGAATGGTCTTGGGACAATTTCTGAGATCAATGAGCAAGTTTCAACCTATGCACCTTTCCAGACAGTACAGAATTTCTGGACACTATCAGGTACAAGGCTGCTAGTTAATTTACAATCAACTTGAAGCTTGCACAGAATCTGAGTTTCTGGAAACATTTGAGTGGGGCAGGGGGAGGGGGAGCCAAAAAAATTAGCCACTACTCAGGTCCTCATATTTCAACCAATGTATCTGACTGTTACTTCTGCTAGTTCTGACCAAGCAGTAGCAGAACCAAGGCTAGGTGGGATAGTTCATTGCATATTACAGATTCTGTAGTTACATGAAATGATGGGGAATTGCCAATTATTTATTTTGTTATTATACTTTTTTTTTCACCAGTAGGACAGGACCATTTTGACATCAGGATGTAACTGGACAGGACAACTGAGATCTTTGCTCTGATCTCTGGTTCCTTTACATATTTGCAATGGTGCAATGGAAAAACAAGCAATCTGAACTGAGTACAGAGTAATGCTTTTCTCTCCTTCCAGCTTTCCTGGTGGAAATAGTTCCCCTACTAAAAACACACACACGTGCCATTAGGAAATACATATTGATATCCCAGATTACAATTTTCAGTTTCCTACGCCTTCTTCAGCTTCAGAAATTAACATTCATCATGCCATATCTGCATAGAAAATATTTGCTGGGAAATCCTCAATACAAAGACACAGTATTTGTCTGCTTTATGAATTTATTCAGATCACAATTCAATGGAAATATAACTCCTGTGTCATATTTTCTATAACTAGAGCTCTGAAACCCCAATTTTCTGCTCTCTTGCACCTGCCTTCTAGAAAAACACTCACTCTTTCGCATCTTCAGAGATCTTCCACTCCCCCGCTGCTAGGTGCAGTTTCCTCCTAAGTCCCACGAAGGGCGCATCTACAGGCCAGAAGTATAGGATGATGACTGGGCATCAAAACATGCTGCTCGGTTGACATTGAATGAAACCCAGTTATTTAAACTTTGCATTACTCCTTTGGGGACTGTTGTTATGTAATTACAAAAATCTGGGGTTGCACATCCTTTGAAAGCAGCTGCCACTTCACTTTTACCCACTGAAAAAAGAGGAATGATAATATGAGTCAGGGTTGATTTCAGGACCCAGCACACTCATGCAATTTGCAGGACCATTGGAATCATATGTCCCCCTTTACCCCCAACCCAGTTATGTTCTCTGAATATTCAGAAGATATCTTTTCACTCAAAAAAAGACACTGAAATGAAAGGTGCAGCAGGATAATATGAGTCAGGCTTGGCATCAGAGTCAGGCATCTTTGGACAAATGTCAGGGTCAGTGCACCTGAGAACAGTCTGCATCTGATGTCTTCCACAAGCCCTGCTTTACCTTTCTTTTTCTTTTTTTAAATTGATATTTATTAAATTTTCAAAGAGTAACAAGTAACAACAAAAATTTCCAAAAAAAATTGAAAATACAAATAAAACAAAAATAATACAGAAATAGTAAAGAAGAAAAAACCCAGCCGCAAAAAAGAAAAAAAAAAGAAAAACAGAAAAACAGAAATATAAAATCCTTTACGATCTCCATTAACTTCCTTTCTAGACTTCCTCCTCCTTCCGTCTCTTGTTTCTTAGTATTTAATTTTTACAGCAAATCCTTTCTGTTTTTTCATAACAATCTATCATTGCGTTTCCTTATTCTATCTTCCCTCTTGTCATATAAAAACTTTAAAACTCAAAGCTTATATTCAATATTTAGCAAATTCTTACATCATTACCTTTTTCAAATCATTTACCAATCCTTACTTAAGTCATATAATTTCATTCAACATCCTTCAAACATTTATAAACATTCCCAATATTAAAAATAAGAAAACAAAAACAATAAGTCAGATTCAATCCAGTCAACTTCCAGCCTCCTCCCCTGGACCCGGGATTGTCAGTCCTTTTAACCTCAATAATCCGGCTCCTTAACCTGGTTGTCTCAAATCCGAGGCCCTCAAGTCTCTTTCTTGCCCCTTTCGCCACTCTTGTTGATGTTTCCCTTTCAGTCGTGGATACTCCAGCAAGAAGATGCTTTTGACTCTTTGCAGCAAGTCCATCCCAAACCCATTGCCCAAGCCAGACAGCAGATAATACCACTTCCAATTTCCACGAAACTTGGAGACTTCGACTACTCCATTCCTCTGATGGCCCATCACTAGACTCGGAAAGTCCAAATAACCATATAGGGGGGTGTCAATCCATCCCCCCATTTCCAAATCTGACCACATTTCATCTTTCCGAATCAGGTTTGTCCCAAGTTCATTTATCAAGTTCAAAGGCTGATCTTGCCCATCCATAGGTCCCTCCATCTCTGAAGCCTCCGTCGCTACAGCAGGTTCATATACTTGTATAGACTTTAACTGAATTTCATTTGTTTGCTGCTGTGCTCTGGTGACTTCTGTCCTCATCGAGGTCGACTCCTGACGCATCTGGTCCAGCTGGGCACTTAATTTTGCAAAACCTTCCAGGAACACTTGTTCAAGCCTTTGTACAAGCATTGTCCTTCAAGGTCAGAAAAAATTCTTTCCCACGAGAATGATCCTTCTCTTTTAAACTCTCTGCATTGCAATTTCACTCAGTTCCACTAGATGGAAAACCCTTTTTTTTTTTTTTTTAAGAGGGGGAAAAACAACAGTAACAATCTTTCTTTTTCCAGAAACACTTTATCCAAAATTCCCCCTTTCAAATTCAAGAGGCAACAGTAGAATCAAAATGTTACCCTTCTTTTAACTATCTGTCGAGCTGGATAAGCTTCAAAACGTCAGTTCTGACAGCCCGCTCCTGGTTCAGGGCGGTGGAAAATTACTTTATTTTAAACTCACTCCCGCAGGGTGGACAAGATCACAACAACCCCTTCTTCTCCTGCAATCGGAGGGGGGGGTTCAGAACTCTTAGATGTTGAATTTTAGTTCTCTCAGAATTTAGTTTCCAGGCTTTAGTATAATTTGTCTTTGCTTTCTTCACGTAACAAAAGAACGGAAGGCGACTTCCTGTTTAGACCTTTCCGTCCGAGTCCCAATTAAATTCAATTTCAAGTTCAAGTCCAATGTTATTTATTTATTCACCAATCTTAAAAGTAGTTCAGCTCTTCCAGGATCGGGTACTCACGGATAGATGTTTTAGATGCCAAATTGTCCAGGAAAAAGGCAGCGCTCTCCGAAAACGGCAGTGCGGCTTTGCTGCACGGAGGAAGCAGACGACTCACAGCACCACGCACCTCCACTCCGGAGCCCGCTACCGGGCTCCTGTACAAGGGGAGAGCGCTCTCGGTGCCCGCCGAGTCCCACGCCCACAGGCTTCTTCCGCCTGTGGTTTTTAAGGGTCCCCGCTGCGCCGTAGCGGCAGGACCCAAGCCTCCGTGCAGCGGGTTCCCTTCAGTTCGAAGGGAATTCCGCCATTTTCCGGAGGCGCCACCCCGGAAGTCCTCCTGCTTTACCTTTCTTCCTTGTCTATTGGTATTCTGACCAGATCAAGGCTACTGGGTGAAGCTCACACATGTGAATTTAGCCAACAATTGAATCTTCCATAAGGCCCACAATATAGCATCCTTCCAGGGCCTGGGGAAACTCAAAATGGGAACGACAGCTGTTTTCATGCCTGCTTGCATGTGATCAGGGCGATCTGTGAGTGAGGCCAATAGCATGCCAGTGACTGAGGACTGGGGCCAACATTGTGTACCTCCCCGATAATCAGGAAATCCCACCTTCCTAGGGTCCTTCTTTTATCCCTTTATTTCTCTTTCTCACATACAGAAATCAGGGACAGATATATTTCCCCAAAACTCGTTTCTAGCAAGGAAATCTCATGTTGATGAAAACATTAAATATTTTCCCTCAAATAAAACACATCTCCCTCCTCCCTTTGCTTTCTTCATATTTGGCCAAAAAGGGGATGGGTAGTTGATGGCTGACAGCTGCTTGTTTTCCCCTGTACTGATCGGAAGTTCTACTCACCTTGCTTCATAATACCACCAAAGGTTATACATTTAGTCGCTTTATAAGGACACCTGCGGGCTGTCATGCTCTCGCAATCAGTGGTGCTGTTAGAGAAGCAGGCTGGGCACTCCAGAGGACCATATCTCCCAGGATGCACTGTCAAAATGAAATCTGGTTAGATTTCTGTTTTCTTTGGCATGCCAAGTCCATTCTGGCTCTTAGTTTCCGGTTTGTATAAAGGATTATGACACCCACCAGGGTGTTCTACAACTGCAGTCAAATGTGCCAGCTGGGAAAATCTAATATAAAAGTTTCAAGGGGAACTTGTGATTACAATATGACAACAATTGGGGGGGGGGCAGACCCTGCCAACCTTCCATCTATTTGAAATTGTGGCCAGGAACACCATTTTTGAGTTCATTCTTGGGTAAATTATGACTGGCAATCAACTCTGATCATCTTCATTGCGATCAATACCATTAACAATTTCATTTGTTAGGAATGATGCTACTGGGTTGTTGTAGGCAATGAAATAAAAATGCTGCTATATTTGCCCATGCTGAAATTTGCCGTTATCTCTTACCTGCCCCAAGGTTAATTGACAACAAATTTCCCCGGAATATGTTAGAAGCCAGCGGAAGTTAGTAGAATGTGGAAGTATTGCTATATATGGACTTAGCTGCCCCTTTGCTTCCTTTGCTTATAAGCGCAAATGATTGTGCTGTTTTCATGCTTGGTGCAACACCCCTCACTACTTGCTGGATGAGATTGTGCTGACATTCTCACCTAAATGCCCCATTTTACTGGCAATTGGATTCTATTGGACATTTCAGGCAGCCCAGGATATCTGGCTTCAACCCCGATATTCCCCCAACAATACTTACTTCCGAATCCATCCTCAATGCATGCAGCAGAATGGCAGCAGGTGAACTTCACCCGAAAATATTTCCTCATTGCTGTAGCAAAGCCAAAATAGCCTGGGTGGCATTCCTGGGAGTCAACGCAGTCACTGTAATTAAATTGCTCTCTGTACTGAGAAACTGTGGAAGAGAATTAGGAAGGAGGTTCAAGTCAGTCATCTTTGCCCTGGCGTTAACTGTGGCACTCTCAAAGCTGTAGGGTTGCCAAAGGAGGGATTTTAAATACAGAAGTGACCACAGCTGTTGCTCCATCCAAAGGTGATAAAAGGCACTCCTAGCTAGGGATGTTGGAAAATAATGGAGGTGGAGACAAAACATGACAGTGTCACTTGCTGGGGGCACATTGTCCAAGCCACCACCCCAACCTGGAACTGGCACTATTATTTATCTAGCTAGCTAGCTAGCTAGCATCTATCTATCTATCATCTATCTATCTATCTATCTATCTATCTATCTATCTATCTATCTATCATCTATCTATCTATCTATCATCTATCTATCATCTATCATCTATCTGTCATCATCTATCTTTCTTTCTTTCTATTTAAAATTATATGCCACTGTTCACCCAAAGATCACAGGGCAGTTTACAGCATTAAAATGCAAAATGAAAACACAAAATACATATAATAATAATAACAATGAAAACCAATAGCACCTCCCACAAACACATTAAAAAAGCTATAGACTGGCAAAATGGCAGTCCCCACAATTCCTTCTGTGATGAAAGGTTACAGGATGAAGAATGACAGCTCTGTGTATTTTAGGGCTGATTCACGCATGGACCTGACTTTAGTTCTTTGATTTCCCAGCATGCAGTTACTACGTGCGGAAGGTGTCTTTTGAAAAGGGCTGTGTGCACATTCAGTAGAAAGAATGAAACCTTTCTTACTCACATATATTGTTATCCAGAACACCTTTGAGGCACGTATCAGCTGGGCAGCTATGTGCCTCTCGGTTTTCACAATAGTTTTTCAGCCCATACTGACAAGTTGTACATTGTAGCGTTGCCCCTACAAACAGGAAAGGGGATCAGGAAGGCTCAGTGTCATTAACATACACCACAACACATCTTCTTTTGAGCCTTGGAGCCAGAGGGTCTTGGGCTTAAGATGGGAGACAACGACAGATTCCCTCGACTTTGGAAACCACGTTAACCTATTTTGAATTAAGGCAATTCAGTTTAATAAAGAATTTGAAAATTGAAATTATGTTTAATAAATGAGCACCAAGTTCATTTCAATCATCCTATCTCCTGGTAGGCTTTCCTTCTTTTTCAGAAGCTGGGTACAATTCTGCCAGCAAAGTTACCTTATATTTCATTAAGTAAAGAGGATGGAAGCTTCCTTTCTTCGCTCTTAAAACAAAAGTAGAACATCCAGGGGAGATGTACTGGGATATCCACAAATACACAACTCCAGGCCAACTCATTTAGGTGTAGAATCAGTTTTTAGGATGCTTGGGAACCTGCCCCAGCTCATGTGCCCCAGCAGAGCAATCTAGGGCTGACACCTACCCTACAGCTACAGACAAACAGTATAGCCAGTGCTGGCAGATGCTATTAGAATCATAGAATTGTAGACTTGGAAGGGACCACAACAGTCCCTTAGTCCAAACCCCCTGCAATGCAGGAATCTCAACCAAAGCATCCATGACAGATGACCGTCCAACCTCTGCTTAAAAACCTCCAATGAAAGAGAAGCCACAACCTTCTGAAGGATGGTCACTTACACTGCCAAACAACTCTTACTGTCAGAAAGGTCTTCCCAAATCTTTTGCTCAATGTGGGACTTGAACCCACAACTCTGAGATTAAGAGTCTTGTGCTCTACCAAGTGAGCTATCCCTGCTTGTTGTTGTCGTTTATGTTTATTAAATTTGTATACCAGTTTTCATCAGGAGATAACAGGGTGCTTCACAACATAAAAATACAAAACGAGAATGCAAATATTACTATCATTTATTAAATAGACCCACTTTGGAATAGGGTTGCTGCCCATCCTTTAAAATACAGGATCATCCCAGATTTCAATGTAAAATGCTATGTGTTGATTGAATACAGGACACAGTTTGCCCTGTATTTCCTGTATTTCTGCTCCGTGCATTCTGGATGTGTGTGTGTCTGCCAAGTAAGAATCATCTCCAAATAGCCCACTACCCAAAAATAGCCCAAATAGCCCACTACCAACTACTACAGGGAAGGCATTGCTGGCTTGGCTGGAGAAACCACCTCTCGCTTCGTTCCTTTCATGTTTTCTCCTCATTTCCTCTTCTCATCTCGCCCCCAAGGAGGTGTTCTCCCTTCCCTTTCCCTGCAGCTTCAGTGGGGTTAAGGAAACCATCCACAGACCTGCAGCCTAGGAACAAGGGCCTCGTCCCTCAGAGAACAGCAGCTTCCAAGGCTCTAGAAACAAGCAGTTTTGTGACACTGTAACCCAGAAGCCACAATTCCAAACATAGGCATCTTAGGGTTACCATATTTCAAAAAGTGAAAATCTGGACACAAAAGTTATTAAGCTTTTTTATCTAGACTTTCGACATGGGTTGCCATACGTCCGGATTTTCCCGGACATTTCAGAGATTTCTGTCCTGACACTGTTTTCTGCTGCCATTTTCCGCCTATGTCCAGGAAATTCCAGACATATGGCAACCCTAGTTGTCTGCATAGTAATTTATTTTTTCTCCCTACTCCAAGATGCTAGCCCTGCTTCCCAAATCCTCCTGCTCTTCACTGCTTTGCCCATCTGCTAGTTTTCATTTCTAAGAGCACCTTAGCTTTTCAGTCTCCTTGCTGTAGCTCCACCAACCACTCCCTATTTTAGAGTAAATTACTGGAACCCAGGATGTCTGGTTTCTACTCACCTAGTGAAAACAAGGCCAAGAGGAGGCCTGTGCACAGGAGAGCCTTCATGGTGTTGCGATGATCAAAAGCTAGGGAGGACTTCAAGAAGATCTGTTCCAAAAAGGGCAATGGATACAGCTATGAGCTTACACACAGGGATTTTATAAGTCAGGGATTGGAGCCAACACTTGAGAACAACCGGTTTAGTGAGATGTGGAAACTGGCACAAATGGAATCTGTATGTTTTCCCAGAGAGCCTGTGATGTGATATTGGAACACACTGCAGTTTTGAAACGGGATGCGATCTTTTTCAGGAACACCATGGAATTTTGCCAAGCAAAAAGTTATCCCCAGTGTTCTTCACGCTGTATATGGGAAACCATTTTCAATCATATTCACAGGGATTGATTAGAAACCACAGGAGGGGAGAGTTATCTGTGCTCATGTTCTGCTGCTTGGTTTCCCATAGGCCTCTGACTGGCCACTGTGAGAACAGGATGTTGGACTAGATGGGTCATTGGGTGGGGAAATGTATAATTTATCTTAAAACCATTGCAAACAGCTAAAATTGTTAGTAGGATTGGAATAACACTTGTAGTTTAATGCTGAATTTTGGACATGTAAAAATGTAATGGAAATGAATGTAATTCATTTCTATGTTTGGAATGTAATGGGACTATGTTTGGAATGTAATGGGAGAAGCAACAAGAGGAACAGCGATTTTAGATCTGGTCCTAACCAATGTTGATGACCTGGTTAGTGGCGTAGAAGTGGAAGGATCATTAGGCGTGAGGGATCATGCTCTTCTGAAGTTTACTATACAGCGGAAAGGAGCAGCCAAGCATACTAGGACTCAATTTCTTGACTTTAAGAAAGCCGACTTCATAAAACCTTAGGGAAGTGCTGGGTGAGATCCCATCGACAGTAATACTAAAAGGAAAGGGAGTTCATGATGGCTGGGAGTTTGTTAAGAGGGAGATAGTAAAAGCACAACGTCAGACAATACCAATGAGACGGAAACATGGAAGGTGCCTAAAGAAGCCAGGGTGGCTATCTAAAGAACTTTTAACTGAGTTAAGATTAAAAAAAGGATGTGTACAAAAAATGGAAAAAGGGGGGAAACCACCAAAGAGGAATTCAAACAAATAGCCAGCACGTGTAGACACAAAGTCAGAAAAGCTAAAGCACAGAATGAACTCAGGCTTGCTAGAGAGGTTAAAAGCAACAAAAAGGCTTTTATGGGTATGTTCGTAGCAAAAGGAAGAACAAAGAAACAGTGGGGTCACTCAGAGGAGAAGATGGTGAAATGCAAACAGGGGACACAGAAAGGGCTGAACTCCTCAATGCCTTCTTTGCCTCAGTCTTCTCCGATAAAGAAAACAATGCCCGACCTGAAGAATTTGGAGCAAATGATTCAGCAGAGGAAACACAGCCCAGAATAACTAAGGAGATAGTACAAGAATACTTGGCTAGTTTAGATGTATTCAAGTCTCCAGGGCCAGACGAACTGCATCCAAGAGTATTAAAAGAACTGGCAGATGTGATCTCAGAACCACTGGCAGTCATCTTTGAGAATTCCTGGAGAACAGGCGAAGTCCCGGCAGGCTGAAGGAGGGCAAATGTTGTCCCTATTTTCAAAAAGGGGGAAAGAGAGGACCCAAATAATTACCGCCCAGTCAGTCTGACATCAATACCAGGGAAGATTCTGGAGCAGATCATTAAGCAAACAGTCTGTGAGCACCTAGAAAGGAATGCTGTGATCACCAATAGTCAGCATGGATTTCTGAAAAATAAGTCATGTCAGACTAACCTGATCTCATTTTTTGACAGAATTACAAGCGTGGTAGATGAAGGGAACGCAGTGGATGTAGCCTACCTTGATTTCAGCAAGGCATTTGACAAGGTGCCCCATGAGATTCTTGTAAAGAAGCTGGTAAAATGCGGTCTTGACTATGCTACCACTCAGTGGATTTGTAACTGGCTGACTGACCGAACCCAAAGGGTGCTCATCAATGGTTCCTCTTCATCCTGGAGAAGAGTGACTAGTGGGGTGCCACAGGGTTCTGTCTTGGGCCCGGTCTTATTCAACATCTTTATCAACGACTTGGATGATGGACTCAAGGGCATCCTGATCAAATTTGCAGATGACACCAAATTGGGAGGGTGGCTAACACCCCAGAGGACAGGATCACACTTCAAAACAACCTTGACAGATTAGAGAACTGGGCCAAAACAAACAAGATGAATTTTAACAGGGAGAAATGTAAAGTATTGCACTTGGGTAAAAAAATGAGAGGCACAAATACAAGATGGGGACACCTGGCTTGAGAGCAGTACATGTGAAAAGGATCTAGGAGTCTTGGTTGACCACAAACTTGACATGAGCCAACAGGGTGACGTGGCAGCTAAAAAGCCAATGCAATTCTGGGCCTCATCAATAGGAGTATAGCATCTAGATCAAGGGAAGTAATAGTGCCACTGTATTCTGCTCTGGTCAGACCTCACCTGGAATACTGTGTCCAGTTCTGGGCACCACAGTTCAAGAAGGACACTGACAAACTGGAACGTGTCCAGAGGAGGGCAACCAAAATGGTCAAAGGCCTGGAAATGATGCCTTATGAGGAACGGCTAAGGGAGCTGGGCATGTTTAGCCTGGAGAAGAGGAGGTTAAGGGGTGATATGATAGCCATGTTCAAATATATAAAAGGATGTCACATAGAGGAGGGAGAAAGGTTGTTTTCTGCTGCTCCAGAGAAGCGGACACGGAGCAATGGATCCAAACTACAAGAAAGAAGATTCCACCTAAACATTAGGAAGAACTTCCTGACAGTAAGAGCTGTTCGACAGTGGAATTTGCTGCCAAGGAGTGGGTGGAGTCTCCTTCTTTGGAGGTCTTTAAGCAGAGGCTTGACAACCATATGTCAGGAGTGCTCTGATGGTGTTTCCTGCTTGGCAGGGGGTTGGACTCGATAGCCCTTGTGGTCTCTTCCAACTCTATGATTCTATGATTCTATGATTCTATGATTCTATGATTCTATGATTCTATGAGTCTATGACATGGAAATGTAAAAGATTTGGATTATCATCAAAGATGCAGGAGGAAATGATTAACAATAGGACCCACAAAGGGGAGGAGGGAAGTCCAGGAGATTCTTTGGAATCTTGTTTTTATGTTGTATGTTGGATATGTGATTGTAAGATTTTATTCTGAAAAACCAAATAATTTTTTTTTAAAAAAAAGATGGGCCATTGGGTGTGATCCAGCAGGCTAGTCTTGTGTTCTTACATACAAAGCAAGAAAATGCACAAGAGCAGAGAGCTCATACTATTATTGATGGATATTTCCCTTGCTTCTGTGCTACGTTTTGTTTTGTACAAGCTTGCAATTGAAATAAATTAGGTGTGGTTCTTTTTAATTCTGTAATGTTTAATGAATAGAATACCATTTTTTAAAAGAAAACGTTAATGTTTTCAAAGAAAATACCAGCATTCCCCATTGTTTTTCTCTGATCTTGCCAGAAGGAGAGACATAGAAACCTAGCAAGCTGTTTCTCCCTTTTTTCTTGGTTGATTGGCAGTTCTACTCACATAGATCTGTAGAGCCAGCAAGGGCTATGCACTGATTCTCATTACTAAAGCAACTGGCAGTCTCTATGCAGACTTTTTCTTTCCCTTCACCTTTTCCCTTTAAAGACCCTCAAAGATTCTTGACCTTCTTGCTATAGCTGAGGGCTGGAGATCCCACAGCCCTTCAGATGTTATTGGACTACTGCTCCTGTCATCTCTGACCATTCGCCATATTGGCTGGGGATGATGGGATTTAGAGTTAGGGTTGGCCACAAATGGGATGGGCAGTTCTCTCAAGTTTTGATTCTTTTAGTTTCACATTTTTCCCAATCTCAAGTTCAGTTCTCCACATTTCCAACAATTCGTTGATTTTTTTAATGTCCTAATTTATCCTGATTTACACATGTTTTTATGCAATTTTGCCTAATATACATGTTTTTGCAAAGCAATGTTTCTTAATGAAATGATTGTCTGCTATTTTTACCAATACGGTATATAGGGCTGTGCAGAGCTTCTACGGCCATCCCCACCCCAATCAGATTAAAAGTCCGAAGCAGTACATAGGAGTGGCCACAGTCCCACCTAGGATGATTCAAAGCCTGAACTGAATCACAGCCCATACTCACTCTGGGTGTGCACAATCCAATCTGGAGCAACTGAGGGCTACCTAAATCCATGCTGTCTGCATCCTGATTTGATTGGGGACCCAAGAATGAATGAATGAATGAATGAATGAATGAAACTTTATTTGCGTCAGCCATCAGCCATAGCAAAAAAAGGACATTGTGATATACACAGAATATATCGATTGTATAAAACATGATTATATAAAACACAGTTTAGGGTCCTGAATCAGCAGTCAAATAGTGGATCTTATTCTGATTGCCCCAGCTAATAATTGGGGGACCCAAGATTTGGCCACAGGTAATTCACATTCTAACACGTGCATTTTCGTGCACACTTTACTGAAATACATGCATTCTTGTACACATTTCTTGGCTAAATAAATGCTTAAAGAAATTTGGAGAACAGTTGGTTAATTTTGAAGAGTGGCTGTGCCTTGGTCCGAGTATTGTTCCAGAAAGTGTGGGTTATGTCGATTTGCCTTCACATATGAGCAAAACTGAATTTTGCCCCAGTTCCTGGCACAAGCCTCCTGCTCCTGTTTCACATCCACTACCCGTTCCCTTTCAAGAAATAATAGAAGAATAAAAACCCAGGACTTCTGGTTTCTACTCACCTAGAGGAAGCAGAACCAAAATGAGGCATGAGCTCAGGTTGTCAGATAGTTGAAGGGCCCAAACTGGAGCAGAGTGATACCAATGCAAGGACAACTCTTAGCTGGAGTATTTTGTAAGCCAAGGAGAGGAGGTATGTGGCAATAGCTGGAAAGAGCTGGGCATTGATTCATTTTCTGGAAAGGACTGTAAATTAGAGTGAGAATGTTCCCAGATAGTTGCCTAATAGATGTTATTAACAGATACTGGAATACCCAGAAAGAACTGGTTCAAGACTTCTCCCCTTTAAAGGCAGATAGGGAATCAAAAGATAATATGATTAATGATTATGCCAAACTCTTCTATAGTCTAATTATTAAATGCAGTTTTTTTATATATTTTAATGGGAATCATTCTAATGATAAACCAGGTGACATGACCATCTCCTCTAGCCAGTGGGGAAGTGGCATCACTGATGTAGCTATTTCTGTTGATCCAATTCTCCATCTTAGCTTGCTTTGAAGTGTACTGCTATTTTATTATTATTATTATTATTATTATTATTATTATTATTAGCACAAATTGACAAAAAAATGGCCTGATTCGGTTCAGGATTTGGCTAGATTAGCAGGACAGCCCCACTGAAAATGAAAGAATGCGAGACCATGTTGGTTCATGTTGATTATGATTACCATTAGGATTATTTGCAAACTAGTGCACTTCTAAATAATTTGGGGTGCTCAAATCATTGACAAAACAGCACCATGATTTGAGGCACAGGGGAATGTAGCTGGCAAACTGATAAGAAACTGGTTGTTTGACTATACTGCTCAACTAATGATGCTAGACAGGACCCAAGTCAGGATCACTCACAGGAGGAGACACAGAAGTAAAGGAGAGACACAGTGATGACGGTGTATACCAGTTATGCGGAATCTTTGGGCCCCCAGATGTTGCCAAACTGCAACTCCCATGACCCCTGGGCATTAGCCATGCTTGCCGGGCCCAAATGTTCCACAAACTGGGTTTTGGTTTTTTTACTAAGACTTCTAGTTCATTGTTTATAACTGTTTCCCTGGAACTCTGCTCTTCCCTGATTCTTCCACTGCCCCTATTTTGCCAGATTTCTGGGAAGAGCACATATGAGTGTGTTGCATGTGATGTTACTGAAAATGTTTGCCCCTCCCCCAAGCCATGTCTTCCTGAATGTCACCAACCTATTTCTGCTCCCTCTCAACATTCACTTCAAACACTCTTCAGAACCAGCCTTATGTACCCTGTTTTCTGGTTATTGTTTCCGTTCTGCCTCTGGTTTGCCTTTGAAGGAGAAGCCTCTCTCTCTAATGCTTGCTTTTGAAGGGACCCCCATATAAAACCATGCAAATTTCAGAGGATCTTTTATTCTACTGAATCAGATTCTTATACAGAACAAAGTGGGGTTGTGCTTTCTCTCTGTCCGTCTGAAAGGCAGATCGCGTGTTGCCCACTCTCAAAATTTAATACGAGGCTACAGGTCCCCAAAATGTTGATGATCCTTTCCCGAGCACCCAAATGATCCCCTGGGTCACCTATGGTTCCTGAGCTTATTTCTTGTGCAAACTGGCTTGTTGTGTTAGGAAGCCTGAAATATAGAAGGCAGAAGGCACTTGCAAGAGACCAATCTGCACAAGGAAGGATCTGTGATTATGCTGAAGAGCAGCTCAGCAGAGCCACAATTCCTGCTCGTTTGCAAGCCGTACATCTTCAGAGAAACTGCTTTCAAAGGAACGCTATGCAACAGGCAGGAAGGAGAATCAGGCGGCTGGCTCCTGCCTTCACACAGCTGGTGATCAGGGTAGGTCTTGGCCCAATGCCTGCCTATCCTTCCCATTCCCTCCAACATTTCTCCAATGAAAATTATTATTATTATTATTATTATTATTATTATTATTATTATTATACCCCACCCATCTGACTGGGTTGCCCCAGCTCCTCTGGGTGACTCCCAACATATATAAAAACATAATAAAACATTAAACATTTAAAAAAAATCCCAATACAGGGCTGCCTTCAGGTGTCTTCTAAAGGTTGTTTAGTTACTTATCACCTTGGCTCAGGGGTCACATAACTCCATACCCTCCAACATTTATCCAGTGAAAACAGGGACGTCCTAAGGAAAGGCAGGACATTCTGGGATCAAATCAGAAACTGGGACAGCTTCAGTAAATCTGGGGTGGTCTCTGGGAAATAGGAACACTTGGAGGGTTTGCCTTCCTACCTGAAGCCCCACTCCCAGACAGACACAGATTGCTCTGGGCCATCCACCCTGACCTGTAGCGGTCCACACCTCGTTGAAGGCCCTCTGAATATGCTTGATTTGGCCCTGGCCTTGGCAAAATCTGATGCACAACCCTAGTAACATGCCTAATTGAAGTTCAGAAGTACTGCTCAGCTGGTGATATTACCGACATGGGCCACATCAGTGCTTGCATTTTAGAACTGCAAGTGCCAGGGATACACAGTCTAGTAGGTGGGTGGAATTATTTACTAGGACTTTGTGCTCATTCTTGGCAGTTGAGGAAATATTGTTCTGGAACTCTGCCCCTCTCTGTTTCACTGCTACCCGATTTCACCACATTGCTGGGAAGAGCACGTGTTCAAACTGCCAGTGCTTGCCCCTGGCTATGCCTCCCTGAATTTTCACAAAGCCAATTTGGCTTTCTCCTCCACCTCCATGTGAGCCAGAGCCTTCAGAACCCATCTTATTTATATACTCTGTTTTCCCCATATTAGCAAGCAAAGTCTGTATTTTCTGGTGACTGTTCCTTTTTTCTTTTTTTTTTTAATGATATTTATTGGGGGGGGGAATTTTTAAAAAATTACACACAAAAAAGACAAGACAGAAAAATAAAAATAAAAAATAAAACCATCATTCTCAAGTTCTCCACTTTCAATACCTTCTTTCTTTGACCTCCTCCTCCTCCCTTTTCTTGTATCCTGATTAATAATAATCACAGCAAATCCTTTCCATATTTCATAGTATTCTGTCATTACATTACCTTAATCTATTTTCATCTTATCTTATAGAAAACCTTAAAGTTTAAAACTTAAATCTTATTTTTACCAACTTCTCCTAGCCATAACATTCTTACCAAATTCTTTAAACATTTTTACAAGAGCCAAGTAATTTCATTTCAACATTTTTCTAGCATTCATCAATTTTATAGAACAATCCTAATGATAAAAAAAGAGAAATAAACAATCCAATCTTCATCCAGCGTCCCTTCCTCCTGGTCCCGGGTTTTGTCAGTCCTTTTTATCTTATTAATCTAGCACATTAACCTGGTAATCTTATATCCGAAGCCCTCAAGTCTCTTCCATGTCCCTTCCGCAGCTCTTCTTCATATTTTCCTTTCATTCGTGGGAACTCCAGCTTGGTAATGTTTTTGACCCTTTTCAACAAATCAGCCCCTTTTCCATAGTCCAGACTAGACTCCATGTGGTATTTAAAAACATGTTTCAGATTCCCTCCAAAATTAAGAGCCCCCACAGCTCCAAACATCTGGCGGCCCATTGCCAGACTCGAAAAGTCCAAATCTCCCTGTATAGGGGGGTCTGTCCAACCCCCCATTTCCAAACCAAACCAAACTTTATCTTTCCAAGTCTGGTTTTTTCCAAGTTCATTTATCAAATCCAAAAATTTATGTTCCTGCTGGGCCGCAGCTCCCTCCGTCTCTGGCGCCCAAGATTCAGCAGCATCCTCTTCTCTCAACTGTTCTGTCATGGCACACTCCTGTTTTAGCTCCTGGGTGGGCTCCATATAATTTCCCACTACCTGTTCAAAGGTTCTGGCCGCATTAGTCATCAAATCCATCTTCTGGCTTAACTGATCCAATAGGGCATTTATTTTGCAGAGAGCACCCAACAGTGCTTCTGAAGACATTGTCCTGCAAGGTCACAAATCCTTTCCCACGGTTGTAATCTATGGCAGCTGCAAGCTCCCAGGAATTAGTTACAATTTCACAGTCCCCCTCTAGGGGGAAATCTTCTGGTTGTTCTTTCTTTTAAAAACAATGCAACAAAGTTTCTTTTTTAAGGTATTTTGTCCATATTTGTTCTTTTTAAAATGCGAAAGGAAACAATGGAATCACTATGTTTCTCTTCTTTTAACTATCTGCCAAAGACATTTGTTTCTGGTCAATGAGCTTCAAACGTCAATTCTGACACCCCGCTCCAGGATCAGGACGGTGGAAAATTACTTTGCTTTAAACTCACTTCTGCAGGTTTAAACAGCCCAAAAAGATCCCCTTCTTCTCCTGCTGCCGAAGGGGGGTTCAGCGATTTTAAATGATGAAAGCCAATCCTTTGAAAGTGATTTTTAAAGCTCTAGTTTATGTTGTCTTTGCTTTATTCTGGCTACAAGGAAACGGAAGGCTGACTTCCTGTTTAGACCTTCCCGTTTCAGTACCAAATTAAGGTAAATTTTTAAGTCCAAATTCCTTTCTATTTCACCAGTTCTTATTTAAAGTCCAAATGTTCAATGTTCCAGTACTCACGGGTGGTTATTTTAGATGCCAAATTGTCCCAGGAAAAAGGCAGCGCTCTCCGGCAATGGCCATGCGGCTTCGCTCCGCAGAAAAAGCAATTGACTCACAGCACCGCGCCACTTCCCCCTCTTCGCTTCAGAGCCCGTTAGTGGGTTCCTTTGCGGGTTGGGGGGGCGCTAAGGGTGCCCGCCGAGTCCCACGGTCACAGGCTTCATCCGCCTGTGATTTCCAGAAGGGTCCCCGCTTCGCCGTAGCGGAAAAGACCCGTTTCATGCGGAGCTGGTCCCTCCAGTTCAGAGGGAGTCCGCCATTGCCGATGGCGCCACCCCGGAAGTCTTTTCTGGTGACTGTTCCTATGCTGTCTCTGTTTCAACAGGACTTTCCTTAAAAAGTAAGTGCCCATAAGATTGCACAACCATGATTATTGTTTGCACGGCAGGGGTTGGGGTAAATGAATCCTTAGGGTCCCTCCCAACACTATGATTCTATGATTCTAAGTAGTTTTTAAAAAGGGAAACATTCAAGTGAGATTTGTTTAATTCTAAAAAGCACACATGCAAAACTCATATATGTCAAGTCAGATCATTAGTCCTTCTCTCCATGTGCTTTTTTGATTGACAGGTCCTCTCTGAGGTCTCAAAGCAGAGATTCATTCCTGGTCCTGGTAAAGGTAAGGTAAAGGACCCCTGGACGATTAAGTCCAGTCAAAGGTGACTATGGGGTTGTGGTGCTCATCTGGCTTTCAGGCCGAGGGAGCCCGCATTTGTCCACAGGCAGCTTTCTGGGTCATCTGGCCAGCATGACTAAACCGCTTCTGGCACAACAGAACACTGTGATGGAAGCCAGAGTGCACAGAAACGCCGTTTACCTTCCCACCACAGTGGTACCATGGATCTTGGTACACAGGGTCTGTTAGCTGCAGATTGAGCATAAAACCTTCCATCTGCAAAGCATGATTTCAGAAGAAATCACAATACATTTCATTTCATTGACCAATTCACTACATTAACTGATTAAAATACCTTTTAAATTGCCTTTTTTAAAAAAAGCCTGCCCAGTTAATCTAAGGATGCATTCATTCATTTATTTAAAAGAATTATTTTTGATAGAAGTAATTATAAAAACTGCAGCTGGCAGCCAGCGTCTTAGAAGAAGCATCTTCCCTTTGCTTCGTTTGGGAGGGATGCCTCTTCTAAGTTGGCACCTGCTGCAACTGGTATATGTTTGTGTGTGTGTGTGTGTGTGTGCATGCACATGCACATTAAACATCACCATCATTTGGGGGTCAATGGGCACATTTGCAAATTGGAGAAAGTACTGTGAGCACCTCACATACCCTGCAACATTTGCTACAACAGCAAAAAAAATAAATCAAGCAAAATTTCAGAAGCGGGGGGGAGCTCTGTGGGAGCCAGGGAAGGCCTGTGAGCCCAAGTGCTTCAAGTTGGTGACTCCTGAAGCATGCCATCTAAAAAAACAACTAAAATATGATCCACCTTTTGAAAGTGTTGTTCTAGCTACAGTGGTACCTCAGGTTACATATGCTTCAGGCTACAGATGCTTCGGGTTACCGACTCCACTAACCCAGAAATAGTACCTCAGGTTCAGAACTTTGCTTCAGGATGAGAACAGAAATCGTGGGGCGGTGGCACAGCGGCAGCAGGAGGCCCCATTAGCTAAAGTGGTACCTCAGCTTAAGAACAGTTTCAGGTTAAGTACGGACCTCCAGAACAAATTAAGTTCTTAACCCAAGGTACCACTATACATGCAAATCTATGCAACTTTGAGTTGATCAGTTAAAATCAGTTAAAATGTATTTACTTAAAGAGCTAACAGGGCAATCCTGTGCACACTTACCTGGGAGCAAATCCCAAGCAACCCAATGAGACTCCCTTTGGAGTAGAGAGGCATAATGTTTCTGTAATGCAGGGATGGGGTGTCTACAGCCCTCCAGATGTGGTTAGACACAGTTCACATCATTCATGATCATTGACTATACTGGCTGGGTCTGATGGACATCCAACAGCATCTGGAGGGCCAATGACACATTCATCATCCCTCAGGCAAATAGATTCCCAACTTACACATTTTCATGCACACAGGGGTGCATGCACACCACACATACACAAACATACACACAAAGACGGGTGCATTAGGATCCCCCTTTATTTAACTAATTTGCTCTTTGAAATCACATGCAAGCCTGCAAATAGACATTAGCAGATGCTGGAGCCTGAACTTCTGGGAATGGTGCATTGGAGATGCTTTTCCCAGCTTTGCTGAGGAAGGCACCTTGAACCAAATGAAATTAGTAAAGGAATTTGTCCAGCAGGAGCCCAAGGAGATAGGGCAGGAGAACGGTGAAAGCAATGCTCCCATGTACCAGGCTGGCTCCATCAGTTGCTTTCTTTATGTCACTGGTGGCGATCGAGATTTTCACCTCTCCAAAGGTCACGTTGGTGCCCTTGACAAGGATTTTTGCTGATTGAGTAGCACAGCCTTGCCCATAGAAGTCCTGAGATGAAACTGTAGAATCTGCAAAAGGACAATGCAGGAAAGAAATAGTATCATCCCTGCTGTGAAGGAAATTGACAGTTGTGAAAAATAAAAATTGGGGGGTTAACTTGTTTAAACCCAGCCTGTACAGGGAAGGAATAGGTGGTCAAATTGTGCATGGGCAAAGTCTGCAGTTGGGACTCAGACCCAAGTAGTTTTGTGGATTTGGAACCAAGGGAGTTGAAGGATATGTTTGGGAACCAAATGAAACTTGAGGAGATCATGCTGGGTCTCAGGATACAAAAGAAAGACACATTGGGCTGAGGAAACAGCAAATTCTAACATAAGTCTTTAGCTTTAGGGACTGTCTCTAGATGGAAAGCTGCAAGTGTTTTAAACTGACATTTGTTTCTGCATTTTTGCTCCATTTAAGGGCTACGTCTGGGAAGCTAAAATGATGGGTGGCTGCATTTGAGCAATTGGGTCTCCTTTGCTTCTACCCGCTCTAGGAGCAAAGGGTTGTCTCCAGCCAAGTTCTGCTTGGAATGAGCTCACTGAAACTACTGGGTCTAAGTTGCTCACATCCATTTCAATGAGTATTATTTTTTCCAATCACAAACTGATGCAGAATGTGACTGAACTTAAGAAGGGTAAAATTGAAAACTGAGAGAAACTGCAATTCATGGGCTTGTCCATCCCTAACCAGGAGGGCTTGCTTTGATGTAGAACAAGGGTTTAGCACAGAGTTCACCTGTGGATAAGCCTAAATTCCTCCATTGTAGAGTCAGTTTGGTGCAGTACTTATGAGGACCTGCTTAAGGTATGGGTTGAAAGAACTGGACTTGGGTCAGTTATTCTCTTCCAGCCCCTCACCATAGAACTGCCAAGAGAATAGGGGAGAAGCTAAACTCCTTGGGATTAATATGCAAAGAATATGAAAAAACCTCATTCAGCATACCGCATTCTCATTTACCTTGGTAAGTCCCAGAAATGGTCAGGCAGTAGTCTTGGGATCCAGTACAGTTTGTCTTGTCACCATGGCAGGGCTTAGAGCTGAAAACGAAGCATGTGGGACACACCTTCCTGGTGACGTTGGTGTTTACTGCAACAGTGATGAAATGAGTGATGAAACATACTGCTGAACTGGAGGGGAAAGCACTCTGCAGAAACAAAAACCACAACAACAACCCTCCCCTTTTGTAGTTGGGGAAAATGGAAAAGGCATGGAATTTCTCAATTTGGTGTGGGGTGGGCATCAAATATTTTCTGAACGGTCCAGGCCTTCCACTTCCTTGGGTTGTGGTTGTTTTAATAAACAAGAACTATTTTAACCAATGCATATGGTTCCCCTACTGGTGGGCAGCCTTCCCATGAGACAGAGCAAGACAGTTGCCTCAGGCAGGAGCTGCAGTGAGCGGCCAGGAGATGCTGAGCAACAGAACTGTGTGTACCATTTCACTTGCCCTGTGCTCCCTCAGCTAGGGTGCTGCCCTCAGTTGCAGTGGAGGATGCTACCTGGTCTGCAGGGCTGAAGTGAGATCATTCTATCTCCACTGGTGGTGCGAATCACAAGTGTGGCACTTCGGTCCTGCTTGTTGGCTTTTCACATGCATCTGGTTGGCTACTGTGAGAATAGGATGCTAGACTAGCTGGGTCATTGACCTGATCCAACAGGCTCTTCTTGTGTGCCTATTTGGAATGAGGGGGGCGGGGGACAATATTGTCCCTCAGGGCAGGCAGTATAGAATCATAGAATCATAGAATCATAGAGTTGGAAGAGACCACAAGGGCCATCGAGTCCAACCCCCTGCCAAGCAGGAAACACCATCAGAGCACTCCTGACATATGGTTGTCAAGCCTCTGCTTAAAGACCTCCAAAGATGGAGACTCCACCACACTCCTTGGCAGCAAATTCCACTGTCGAACAGCTCTTACTGTCAGGAAGTTCTTCCTAATGTTTAGGTGGAATCTTCTTTCTTGTAGTTTGGATCCATTGCTCTGTGTCCGTTTCTCTGGAGCAGCAGAAAACAACCTTTCTCCCTCCTCTATGTGAGATCCTTTTATATATTTGAACATGGCTATCATATCACCCCTTAGTAAATTGCCTTGAGCCAGTCCTGCCCGATGTTACTAAGAGCCAGAGCTCAGTCGTAGAACATCTGTGCTGCATGGGGCAGGGAGACAGCCTTGTCTGAAATCCTGGGGAGCCATTGCCGGTCAGTATAGACAACACTGAGCAAGATCATGATGGACCAGTAATCTGAGTCAGTGAAATGCATCTTCCTATGTTCTATGTTCCTATATTATGGTGCCACAGGACCCTCCATTGTTTTGTGGGCAAACTGAATGGTAGAGCACCAGTTTTGTATGCAGAAGGTCCCGACCTCTCCAAGCAGAGCTGGAGATGTCCCTACTCTGAAACCTTGGGGAGTTTCTGCCAGCCAAAGCCCCACCCAGAGTTGCCAACTTGCAGAGAAGATTGGCGGGTGGGGATGATGCACACATAGTGTTGGGACACCGCATGACATCAGGATGTCAGGAGGAGACAGGGTGGCAGCAGCAGCAGCAGGAGCCAAATGTGGCAGCGGTGCAGCAATAATTAATAATAATAATAATAATAATAATAATAATAATTTATTTATACCCTGCCCATTTGGCTGGATCTTCCCAGCCACTCTGGGCAGCTTCCAGTAAAAACAGAATACGACTTCAAACATTAAAGACTTCAAACATTAAAGAGCCTTCAGATGTCTTATAAAAGTTGTTTATTTCCTTGACATCTGATGGGAGAGCGTTTCACAGGGCAGGGCCACTACCGAGAAGGCCCGCATCTCCTCCTATCTCGCACCCAGTCTCCTCCGTCTCTTGCTGATGCCACAGGTTGGGAGCTGCACGTCTTTCCCTTACGTGGCAGTGGCAGGAGGGGGAGCAGCCACTGAAGCTGTGCCATGCTCGGCTCCACAATCAACCTCCTCTTCCTCCTCCTGCCACCACCACTGGCCGGGGGCTGCTTTCTCACTCCTTCCCCTGCACAGCAGCAGGAGGAGCCGACCACTGAATTTACACAGCTCCATACTTGGCCTCCTCCCGCCTAATGGTTCTAAACATTGGGAGGCTGCCCTCCTCCCCAAAAAATAATAATTTGGAGGGCTCAAAAGAGCTGGGCGCTAGGAGTTGATGCCTACCGCCCCAGTAGACAACACTGAGCTAGATGAACCCTACAGAGCTATATGAACCCTACAGCTTAAGCCAGCCTCTTATGTCCATCACACTACAGAATCATTATCCATGCACTCTAGAGGAGAAAAGTTGGTGGCCAGATGGACTTTCTCTCCCCAAATAGCAGTTTCGATTCAGTCTTACTCCACCTTGCTTCCTTTTCTGTTCTTCTTCTTGTGGCAATTTATCAATTTACATACTGCCTAATGCCATAATAGTGCACGGAGAATGGAAGCCAGTCATGCAAAGCATTAAAATGTTAACATCCTCGATCAAAATATACAATTTGGCAATCCCAGTAATGACATTAAGGAAATATACCTGTATCATTAATATATGTGATAAAAAACGCAATCCCTTTAAGATAACACAACATTCAAAACAGAAGGCTAAAGTCGAGGGGATGCTTGCATAAATTAGTGTGTCTGCAGTATATCATTATCATTACTATTGTTTATTATTGTTAGAATTAATTTTGTTTTCTAAATTTGTCCCAAAAGCAGCAAAGATGCAACACTGTGACATATAGAACAGCAGAGATTGTGCATCCCATACAAATCATTCCCTACACAGTGTTGTGTAATAACTTCCCCCACCTTTCAGGAATCTCAAAGGAGGGAATAAGATTTCAAAGTGACCAAAAAATAAGGCACAACCAAAATTTGACAATCTGTAATTCTAAATAACTCTTGCAGCCATTAATGAACAGCATGTCCTTTCATCAGGTTGTGCAAAGCCAGGGCAATAGGTCTATTCACAATCATCAATACAAGAAAGCTCTTAAATTTTTTTATGGGTGCTTCATCCTCAATTTCACTTACTTAGTATGCAGCGTAAATAACTTCCCTATTGCCCTTCTGTTAGGATTCCTGGGATATGAAAAAATTTTTGATATACTCATTTCTGAGACTCCTACTCAGCCTTAATCAGTTCTGGACCCCACATACCTTCAGGTAGATGACTATTGCATTTTGTCTTATTGCAGCATACAGAGTTCCACGTAAAATTTTTCCCAGCTGTGAAGAATAAGTCCCCCTCTTTGCATGCATCGAAACTGGTCTTGTTGCTTTCACAGCCTTGGAAGCTAACAGGGATTGCTTTGGAATCTTGTGTTTCAAAAAAGGGGGAAGGAAATAGAAGGGAGTTAGGGAGATAAAAAATAACGTGTTAAAACCAATGACCAAAACAATATCACTCATCCATTAAAGCAGGGGAGGAAAAACCTTTTCAGCCTGAGGGTCGCAGTCTATCACTGACAAGTGCTAGGGGTGGGAGGGACCAGGGGTAAAAGTGGGCAGAGCTGCAAATGTGACTCGTATCTTTGTGCCCTAGGCTAGATTCCAGCCATGCAAAAGTCAGGGGGGTCTACACACATTGTTCTACCTCCAGGCAAACAAGTTCAAGGGTGCTTCCAAACTGAAGAGGGCATGGAGGAGGACCGGTGAGGGGTGTTGCCTGGGCAGGATGAGTGGGGCCTGGGAAGAGAGTGGAAGGCCAGAAAAAGAGGGCTGCCCTTGGCCCCTAGACCTGAGATTTACCCACCCCTTCATTAAAATGTACCACAAATGCACATAATCAAGCACTGGTGTATTCACACTTGTGGTCAGCAGTGATCTTTCGTGTAAACACAACCAAGTTCTTGATAGTGTAACTGATTCCATCTGTAATATGCTGGTGGGTTTGCACTATTCAGACAGTGCAATTGGCATTTGATGTGTTCTTCAGATTCATAATGATCATGGCTGCATTCCTCCTCCCCGCCCCCCCGCACACACCTTTTAATTAGGTTTCTAGAAAGGCTTCTGTTAGTGTTTTCTGGAAATGTCCCCAGGGACACATCTACCTACTCTTTGTATAATTCCATGCTGCTGAAATGCAGGATCCTCCAGTATCATCAACTGTACAAACTTTGCTTGGACACTCTTTTCCATCAGCAATACAGTCACAGTCCAGGGAGTTTGCTGGGGGGAAAATAATAACATTGAAAACAGTAAACAATCGCAACTACCATGATGATGAGCAACACTGGTTCTTATTTCTTTTGTTTATGCTTTATTTTCTAATCCCAACCTTCCTCTGAGGAATTCAGGATAATAATAATAATAATAATAATAATAATAATAATAATAATAATTTTTATTTGTACCCCGCCCTCCCCAGCCAAGGCCGGGCTCAGAGCGGCCTACAAGCAATAATAAAAACAAGTTAAATGATTACAACTTAAAAACAAAATTAAAAATACAACATTAAAATATTGAAACATTAAAATATTAAAGTGTAGCCTCATTGCAGGAGGAGAAGGAAAAGAAAAAAGAAAGAGAGGGAGGGAATCAAATTGGCTCCAAGCCAAAGGCCAGGCGGAACAACTCTGTCTTACAGGCCCTGCGGAAAGAAATCAGATCCTGCAGGGCCCTGGTCTCATGAGGCAGAGCGTTCCACCAGACCGGAGCCAGAGTTGAAAAGGCCCTGGCTCTGGTTGAAGCCAATCTAACTTCCTTAGGGCCCGGGACCACTAAGGTGTTGCTATTTATGGACCTTGAGGCTCTCCATGGGGCATACCGGGAGAGGCGGTCCCATAGGTACGAGGGTAGTAGGCCGTGAAGGGCTTTAAAGGTCAAAAGCAGCACCTTAAATTTGATCCTGTACTCCACCGGGATCCAGTGCAGCTTGAAAAGCACTGGGTGAATATGCTCCCATGGCAGAGACCCCGTGAGGAGCCTCGCTGCAGCATTCTGCACCCGCTGGAGTTTCTGGGACAGCTTCAAGGGCAGCCCCACATAGAGCGAATTACAGTAGTCAAGCCTGGAGATGACTGTCGCATGGATCACTGTGGCCAGGTCGGGGCGGGAAAGGTAAGGGACCAACTGCTGTGCCAGAGACACTGCTGCAGTCGCCACACCCAATCACAACAGCACAACGTACGCCTCATTAACTCCATGAATTTATAGTGTTGTGATACGACTTCCCCTCAAAGAATTCTGCAGTTTGCAAAGGGTGCTGAAAGTTGTTAGGAGGCTCCTGTTGCCCTCACACAGCTATGCTGGATTGATTGTTAAACCACTCTGGAAGGGGAATGGGGGGCCTCTCCTAAAAACACTCTGCACCCTTACCAAACTACAGCTCCCAAGATTCTTGGGGCAAAGCCGTGGCTGTTTAAAGTTTTATCAAAGCAGTTTAGATGTGTGGCCATTGTCTATTGGCTGCAACAGGACTCTACTGTTGTGTTCTGGTCCAATGACAGACTCCACAGAGAATGTAGCTTCAGGACCGTGGACAGATCCCAATGAGCAGCTTCTTCTGACAAAGGCTGATCGCAGACTGAAGCCTTTTGAGCCTCTACTGTATCTCCAGGCTGTCTCCTCCCATGACTACTATATCTCTCCTTTGTGAATGTTTGGTAATCTGCTCTAGGAAGATATCGTCCATGTCTGGCTTGGCAGTCTATAGCAGACCCTTCACAGTAAGGTCACTATTTCTCTCTGCTACAATTTTTACTCCTATACTCTCTACCAGCTTTCCATGCTCCAGGTCATGGATTTCTTCACAAGTGTACACATCCTTTACATATAATGCTACTCCTCCTTCCTTCCTGTTTGATCTATGCATTTTGAACAAGTTATACATCTCAGTTGCTACCTTCAGACATGAGTTTCATCCCACCAGGTTTCAGTAATATGACTCAACTCACCTGCAGCTATCAAGGCAGCAAAAAGATAGAGAAGAAACAACTTCATGATTCTGGGAACTGAAGTTTTCTGGTGTCAATGGAAGAAAAATATCCCACAGAGGAGGTTTCTGCAACTGCAATACCAAAATGATGGGAGATTTTATTTTTAATTTTTTAAAAAAGCAAGCAATAATCAACATATGGTGGTTACAGCTGGACAAATGGCACTCTCGTGTGTCATGTGGTTGTGAGTTCCAATGGTTTTGGTTTTGTATTTTTGAAGTCTCTCCCTAGCAGACCTGGGTCAAAGCATTTTGCCGCCTGAAGCAGTAATGAGGATGACATTCTCCTTTTTTCTTTCCAATCTTGACCTGCCTCCAAAATAACCCATGATAATATACATCAGGGATGGAGGACAGCTCTTTATTTATTTGTTTAATTTTATTGTTACATTTCTATCCCACCTTTCCTCCAAGGAAGCTCAAAGTGACACAGATTGTTCTCCCTCTTCATGTTTCATCCTCACAACAACTCTTTGAGGTAGGATAGGTTGAAAGACAGTGGCTGACTCAAAGTTATCCAGTCAGCTTCATGACCATAGGGAGATTTGAACCCTGGTCTCCCAGGCAGGACAACAACTCCCATCATCCCTGACTTTGGGCCATGCCAGCTTGAGCTGGTGGTATTTGGAGTCTAACAGCATTTGAAGGCCCACAGGGTCCCCATCCCTATTTGGGGTAAATAAATTTGCAAAAATGTATTGTTTTTCACCCCCTTGGTCTCTCCATATTAAAGCTTTACTGCAGGTGTGACCTCCAGATGTTATTACTAATATTACATATTTATTCATACCCATAGCTGTCAACATTTCCCTTTTTTAAAGGGAAATTCCCTTATTCCAAATAGGATTCCTCGCAAGAAAAAGGAAAAGTTGACAGCAATGTACATACCCCACACTTTTCCCTAACAGGAACTCAAGGTGGGTTATAGATAAAAATAGGAATTGCTAAAAACGTTAAAAAATTAAGCACTGATAGAATTAATACTCTCTCTCTATATATACATAATCTATTAAAACAATACAAATAATTACAATAAAAACAGCAGAGCACCAGCTCTTTAATTAAAAGCAGTAAATTCCCAAAGGCCTGTTGGAACAAGAAGGTCTTCACCTGCCAGCAGAAGGAAAATAAGGAGGGAGGGAGTCTCACTCCTCTAGGGAGGGAGTTCCAAAGTCTGGGAGCAGCCACCAAGAAGGCCCTCTTCTGTGTCCCCACCAAGACTGCTGTGAGAGTAGCAGGACTGAGAAAAGGGCCTCCTCTGAAGACCTCAAAACCCAGGCAGGTTCATATGACAGAATAGAGTCTTTAAGATACCTTGGACCTTAGCCTAGACACTGCTAGGGTACTATGGCAAAATGTGCATTAAAATGTATCTATTAGTGAAAATAATGAACGAAAATGCATTAGCACAAATAGGTGTATCGGACAAAATTGCACTGAAATATGTGCATATTAGAAGAAAGTCACTCTAAAATGCAGGTGAATTTCCGTCACTAATAGTTAACTGCTCCCTGCGGTTTGTGTGACAATATTTCAGATAGCAATCCCATTTGCTCCCACCCAAGGGAATATCTGGGCAAGGCCAGTAGACAAAGGACTGTCCTGCCCTCTTTGCTAAACAATTTGGGGCAGGACCCCAGGGCGTGTGCTGCGAGGAGTGCGTATGCAAGGAGAATGTGCCTTCTGTGGACACACAGCACCTGAGAGCAAGAGGAGGGTCACACCCGCATAGCAAACACATCTCTCTGGGAGGGGGGGGGAGAACATTTCAGCTGAAAACCATGTAACGGAGATGGCAAGAATGGATGGCAAGCAGGCCAAGGGAAAAGGAAGACATTCAAAGCTGCCATAGCTGGGTATGATGGTCATCTGAAATGAGGGGTAGCAATGAAGCTGGGGGTAGATAGCATGGAGAGAGTGGATAGAGGAAACCTTTTATCCCTCTCTTATAACACTAGAATTCATAGACATCCAATGGAAAGTTGGAAGATTCGGGACAGGTGAAAGCACATTCTATGGAATTTACTTCCCTGGGAGGTCATGATAGCCACCAACTTGGGTGGCCTTCAAAGAGGATTGGACAAATTCATGGAATATAAGGCTATGCTCTGCCTCCATGGTCTAAGACAGTAATGCTTCTGGATATCAGGTTCTGGAAGCCACGGGAGGGGAGAGTACTATTGTCCTGCTTGCAGGCTTCTCATTGGAACCTGCGTAGCTCTGTGAGAATTAGATGGTGGGCTTGATGGGCCATTGGCCTGATGTAGCAGAGACTTCTTGTGTTCTTATAAGAGAAGCAGAGACTGGAGGGAGGCAGTGAATGGTACTGTGATGTTGGCATTTTATCCTTTATCAGGACTGGCGTGTCTACCGTACTCATAAGCTGATATGGAACTCTCTTTCAGGGAAACCAGGTCGCTGGATTTCAGGGTGGGTCGTGGATAAGAAACCTTTGATAAGAAAGAGGAGGGTGTCCAAACAAAGGGATTTGCACCCCTCTGAGGACAAATGTTGAATCATAGAACTGTAGAGTGGAAGGTACATTAGGTCATCTAGTCCAATTCCCTGCAATGAAGGAATCTCAACTAAAGCAGCCATGACAGATGGCCATCCAACCTCTGCTTAAAACTTCCAAGGAAGGAGAGTCCACAACCTTCCAAGGGAGTCCATTCCACTCTTGAACAGCTTTTACTGTCAGAAAGTTCTACCTTCAACCTCCTTCAACTGTTACTCATAAGGCTTGGGCTTGATGTCAAGCCCATAACGCTGTTTTGTGCAGCACCAATGAATCCTCCCAAGATTTCTCAAACAAACACCTACTGCCAACCTTGGGTTTCACAGTCCTTGCGTTTGTCAGATGCACTGTATTTTAAAAGCTAAGTGGAGTCTTCAACAAAAGGTTGTATTGCATCAGGTATGGGGGACTTTTGGCCTCCGGATGTTGCTGAACGCCAGTCAGCCCTGACCATTGGCCAACCTTCCTGAGGCTGATGGGAGTTGTAGTTCAGCTGCATCTGGAGTGCCGAAGATTCCCTTCACCTGCAATTGGAGCACTGCTGCTGCCTTGCAGCACTACACCCCAACAGAGGATGGGGCCCAAAAAAATATATTTTGCCTTGTTCCCCCTGACATCTTCCCACTGGGATGGTTATTTCAGTGGAAACTGAGCCCACCTCAGTGCTCTAACACTCTCAGTGATGTCATTGCCAAAACCCATGACCGACCAGTGAGAGTTCTCCACTCACTGCTGTGAGCTACTAACATCATTTACTGTACCGTAGGTTACCCTGATGTCATTTAAAACAAGGAAGGCGTTTGTTCTTTTTAGACACATTAGGCAAACATACGGCTATCAATAGTGTTATCAGCAGTACATGGGCAACCGCAGAGCATGAGAAAGTGGAGTGCGCACTGCATGGTACCTTGGTATTCATCCACATGCATTTATACATAAGTGTGTTGGGTCTTTAACAGTGGTTCACATTCTAAGGAGGACTAACAAAATAAAGTGTGTCTAAAGGAGGGTGACCAGGGTGGTTGAGAGGTCTGGAAACCGAGGGTTGCATCCAACTAAGTTCTACTCAGAGTATACCCATTGAAAGTAATGGAACAAAGCCATGTCCATAGATTTCAATGGGCACACTTGGAGAAGAAGTAACACCAGCTACAACCCCAAGTCCTATGAGGAAGTGTTAGAAGAACTGGAAGAACAGGATAGTGTCTTGATGAAGGGTTGTCATTCAGAAAATGTATAGACCCCTGATAGACCAAAAGCCCATCTAGTCCAACATTTTGTCCTCACAGTGGCTGGCAAGGTACCTGTGGGAATCCCAGATAAACAGAACATGACTGCAACAGCACGGTCTTGCCCCAGTATACCTGAAAGAGCATCTCCACCCCCATTGTTCAGCTTGGACACTGAGGTCCAGTTCTGAGGGCCTTCTGGTGGTTCCCTCACTGCGAGAGGTGAGGTTACAAGGAACCAGACAGAGGGCCTTCTTGGTGGTGGCACCCGCCATGTGGAACATCCTCCCATCAGATGTCAAGGAAATAAACAACTATCTGACTTTTAGAAGACATCTGAAGTCAGCCCTGTTTAGGGAAGTTTTTAATGTTTGATGTTTTATCATGTTTTTAATATTCTGTTGGGAGCCACCCAGAGTGGCTGGGGAAACCCAGCCAGATGGGCAGGGTATAAATAATAAGTTGTTGTTGTTTCTCCTGCTCAGAATCACCAAATGCTGGAATTGAGAGGCATGCTACCTCATATACTGGTGATAATGTAGTCATCATGACTAGTAGCCACTGATAGTCATCCACCATTGGTTTATCTACCCCTCACCTTTTAAAGCTATTCAGATTGGAGACCTTTCCTGGTTCCCACAGATTCACCTCCCCCTCCCCACTGAAATTAGACTTGAAAGAAACATTTTTTTAAGGGGAAGTTGTTTCCCTGTTCACTGTGCATTTGGACACCTCTTAAGATATTGCAAACATTTTTCTTTCATGATGGTGCCCAAGAACAGGAATCAAGTTTTCATTTGGATGCAATTGGAGACCATTTGGAATCGAGAGGGTGGACTGAAGCTTGTCAAAATTGCATTGACTTTAACTCAATTTTACAAAATGGTAACTGAGATCAAGAGGCAAGTTTTGAACTATATTTGAATACGACTGGATGCCATTTTGAATCAAGATAGAAGATTGAACCTTTCAAAACTGCACTGATTTCAACCACCGATATCAAAATTCCACCGATTTTTCAGTTTTGGAGGTGGCTATCGAGTAGCCAATAGGCTGCTGCGTGTGTGTGCTGCACACAACAGTTTCCCTGATTTGCAAGTCCACCTACAGGTGCTAAAAGCTTGGTGACCTCCTCTAATAGGAAACTCAACTGGTGGGGGCTGAAAACTATGTTGACCAAAACAAGTCCACTGAGAAACAACAGGCAAATATCAGAATGCTCGTGGGAACTGTAAGGTTTGCAGAAGTACAACACACACACCCCACTTCTTTCTTTCTTTCTTTCTTTCTTTCTTTCTTTCTTTCTTTCTTTCTTTCTTCCTTCCTTCCTTCCTTCCTTCCTTCCTTCCTTCCTTCCTTCCTTCCTTCCTTCCTTTAGTGGAAATCTAAGGTGGCAATGTCCATGGTAAATAAAATACCAATCAGGACGATCAGTTCATAGAATCATCGTCCAGTCTAACCCCCTACAATGCAGGAATCTCAATTAAAGCATGCATTACAGAGGGCCACCCAACCTCTGCTTAAAAAAACCTCCAAGGAAGGAAAGTCCACCACCTTCCAAGGGAGTCCATTCCATGGTAGAACAGCTCTTAAAAGTTCATTCTGATGTTTAGTCAGAATCTCCTTTCTTGTAACTTGAAGTGATTGGTTCAAGTCCTATCTTCCGGAGCAGGAGAAAACAAGCTAACAGGGACTGAAGAAAAGTGTGACTGTACACAGCGAACCAGTGGTATTGCGAGTGAATGGGGCAGCCCCGTGGTTCCACATTATGCCCATCATGGCCTGGAGGAGGGAGGATGTTGCAAAGACAGCTTGCCTTCCTCTCCTGATCACCTCTGGCCATGCAGAGCTACCAGGTGGGTGCCGGGCATGTTCTAGGATGTTTGTGTAAGAAGACTGTGTAGCTCAACGCTCCTAGCAGCAAACCACAGAAATGGGTTGCGCACCCTGGAAGAGTCCCCTGTAGGTGAATGCACCAAGTTGTGCTGGGATGTCATAGAACAGCTTCATGCAGACCCTCCTAAATATCTCCCCATTTATGTTCAGGTCCTAGGCAAGCATCCTTTCCCAAGCACCAGCAAGTCCTGGCTGTAAAGTTGGCTAATATCCATAGCAAAGAATTCCTCTCTTACCTGGTTTTCCCCCTTCTTTGTTGATGTGATATCTTTATGCAGAGAGACCAGCTGAGAGGCATTAGGTTGGTTGTGTGTGTATATATACTCTCTAGGGAAAGGTGAGTAAGTGCCCGCTATCAGTGGGCAGGGAGTAGATATGAGAAGAAAGGGCAGCTTCAGTGAGAGACTTTTAAGGTGGAGGAGAGACGTTGTGATTCATTGTGAGGTGTGGTAAAGAAGGAAACAAGGTTAAAATAGCTGGGCAAACTTGACGGGAAATCTGAGAAACCAATTCTGCCATGAAAAATAACTCTTGGTTTGTTTAGGACTGTTTTCCTCCAAACACCAGAAGGAAGTGAGGGGCTGCCCTGACTTGAAGAGGTTTTAAGGTGGAGCACATGAGATAGGAACAGGAAAATCTGAAAATTTTGGTTTCTCCCAGTTTCTGATTTTTTTCCCCTGAAGTTCAGTTTTCACAATTCTACATCAGTGTGCAGATTTTTATTTTATTTTTTAAAAAAGTTCTCATAAACATTCATCAGCATTTTAATGCAACTGTTTCTAAATATACACATATTGGATGGAATTGTGCCTAAGACACACACCTTTCACACAGCAAAGGTGCATACTTTACTATATACATTTCTGTAAATGTTCCTTGACTGGAGAACCACGCTGCAAAATTTGGAGAACTGTGAATTTCAATGGTTTGCATATTGCGTCGAAAAATTCAGCTTAGGGAGGTTCGCCTCAAAATGCAAACTGAAATGAATTTCTCCCCCATCCTTATTATAAGAAAAGGTTTCCAGGACAGGGCAGTGCCTGCAAGAGGAATGTAAGGGTAAGGTAGCCCTTCTGACTAAAGAAGTCCCCTCATTTTGCAGCAAGCCATGCCTGCAAGCTCTTTTTTTTTAAAAAAAAGGGGGGGGAGAATAAGCTGAAGGAATTAGTCTCATCCTTCCTGACCCTAGCTGACTTCCAACTGTGAGGGGTCTAAGGATCTTCTAAAAACTCTCATCACCTTTAACAAGCTACAGTTTCCAGGACTCTTGTGGTAGGAAGCCATGACTGTTTAAAATGACTGTTTAAACCATGCAGAGGGTCTTCTCGGTAGTGGCACCCGCCCTGTGGAACACCCTCCCATCAGATGTCAAGGAAATAAACAACTACAGTGGTGCCTCACAAGACGAAATTAATCCGTTCCGCAAGTCTCTTCGTCTTGCGGTTTCTTCGTCTTGCTAAGCACGGCTATTAGCGGCTTAGCGGCTTAGCGGCTATTAGCGGCTTAGCGGCTATTAACGGCTTAGTGGCTTTAAGAAAAAGGAAACAAACTCGCAAGAACTCGCAAGACGTTTCGTCTTGCGAAGCAAGCCCATAGGGAAATTCGTCTTGCGGAACGACTCAAAAAACGCAAAACCCTTTCGTCTAGCGAGTTTTTCGTCTTGCGAGGCATTCGTCTTGCGGGGCACCACTGTATCTGACTTTTAGAAGACATCTGAAGACAGCCTTGTATCAGGAAGTTTTTAATGTCTAATGTTTTACATTTTGTATGTGTGCTGTAAGCCACCCAGAGTGGCTGGGGAAACCCAGCCAGATGGGTGGGGTATAAATATTATTATTATTATTATTATTATGCCTCTGAACATGGAGGTTCCATTTACCCATTGTTACTACACTGGTACCTCGGGTTACAGACGCTTCAGGTTACAGACTCCGCTAACCCAGAAATAGTACCTCAGGTTAAGAACTTTTTTTCAGGATGAAAACAGAAATCGCGTGGCAGCGGCGGTGCAGCGGCAGTGGGAGGCCCCATTAGCTAAAATGGTACTTCAGGTTAAGAAAAGTTTCAGGTTAAGAACGGACTTCCAGAACGAATTAAGTTTTTAACCTGAGGTGCCACTGTAATAGCCATTACCAAGGAGAGTTGAGCTCCGAGGGCCTTCTGGTGATTCTCTCCCTTCGAGAAGTGTGGTTACAGGGAACTAGGCAGAGGGCCTTCTCAGTGGTGGTGCCCGCCCTGTGAAACGCCCTCCCATCAGATGTCAAGGAAATAAACAACTATCTGACTTGCAGTCCTGTTTAGGGAAGTTTTTAATGTTTAATGCTTTAACGTGTTTTTAATACTCTGTTGAGTAGGGTATAAATAACATTATTATTATTATTATTATTATTATTATTATTATTATTATATAAAATGGTACCATAGTAGCTTAACTGTATAGCACTGATTGGGCCTTAGTGTTTCAGATATATTTATATTGTACAGTGAAATTTTGGTTTTTGAACTTAATCTGTTCCGGAAGACCGTTCAACTTCCGAAACGTTCGAAAACCGAGGATCAATGGGCGGTCAGTAAACTCCATTGATAAAATGGAGAAACACACCTTGGAAGCCATTTGACTTCTGAGACACATTCAAAAACATTCGGGTTCCAAATCGTTCAGCTTCCCAGACACTTGAAAACCGAGGTTCCACTGTACTGTTTTAACATGTTGGTGTTTGTCTCCCTGGGCTCTTTGGGAAGGAAGAGTGAGGTAGAAACTTACCGGTAATAACTAATAAGGAGAGTCCTCCTGGATCACGCCACAAGCCTGTCTAGTCCTACTTCCTGTTTCCTACAGGAAGCAAGGGAAAGCCCACAATCAGAACATTAAGGAGCTAGTTTTTGTAAGCCACGCTTCTTAGATGAATGGTGGAGTATAAATGCTGTAAGTATTTCTTCCTTGCTATTCTTCCTCAGGTATTGAGAGGCATGCCCAACAAACAGACAAATAGCCACTATGGCTGGTGGGTATTGATAGACATATTCTCTATGACTTTTTCTAATCCCCTGGTGAATGAATGAAACTGTTCAACCATTTTGTTTTCAGCTGGAGACAGTGGTCTAGGAGGCTAGAGGCAGTCCTTGCCAGGAAGTTCAACAGGAAACTGAAACTTAAGTTGTTACGGGAAATAGAAACTTAGCAAAACTCTATTGTCATTCTGGTTGGCTGCAGTCCTAAAGGGCTGTTTTAGCAGAGGCAATCTTAAAAGCAAGGCTGTCAGTTATCTTGTTCAATTAATGAAGGTTAAGTTCAGTTGCTGAATTTTATACATATATGGGTCTTTGCTTGTTAATAAAGTATATCTTCTAAGTTGGAAACAGGAACCAGTAGAAGGAAAGCAAGGAAGATCTTTATTTTCCTGTTGCAACTGAGTCCCCCACCCCCACACCTTTGCAAGGAAGTGAGGACCCAGGGCAAAGGTGTGTAAGAGCTTTTAAAGACTTTAGAAATTGCCCAGACCCTCAGCCAAAGACCACCCAAAAAGCAGTCTGCTTTCTCCTTTGCTCCCATGCCCCACCTTGACTTCATGTAATACCAGGATTGTGATGTGGCACTACGAGCTCCAACACGAGCTGCATGAAGACAGCCTTACATTTTATGCATATAGGAAGATACACACACACACACAGAGTCAAAAATCAGGGGTTTATTTCATTAACAAGAGTTTGCTTTTAACATTGTGATTGATTGATTGATTGATTGATTGATTGATTGATTGATTGCCATCCACATGTGCCTCAAAGCAATGTATAAAATAAAATCCAAGAAGCAAAAAGAGAGGGGGTTACAAAGCTTGGTTTTGTTAGGCATATTTTAATATACTTAATATTCCATAGCATTCTTCATATGTAGAAATTTGTATCTTTAAGAGCAGGGATTTGGAGCCTGTGGTCCTCAAATGCTGCTGGGCTCCTTCTCCCATCAGAAATGATGGGAGCTGCAGTTCCTGTACTGCAGGGGTTGGACTAGATGAGCCCCATGGTCCCTTCCAACTCTTCAAATCTGTGATTCTGTGACATCTAGAGGGCCACAGGCTCTTCTGCCATGGTTTAGTGGTTTAGACGTATGGGAAGCCCTTGAAAGCCAAACTGAGATCCTGGACTACCAGTTCTTTGTGTCTGCGGATATTAATGATTGTTGAGCAGGTCTCCTGGGGAGGATGCAAATCAGCTCTGTGTTCCCTTGGAAATGTAAACATTTCCCACTGCAGACCCGTCTCCTTTCTCCTCGGACTTTGGACTTTTGCAGAACTCGAGAAAGCTGGACCAGGCAAAGGATGTTGTTTACCGAAGGGATATTTGCTTATTGATGAAAAGAGCCACGTCAGCATGTTAGGGTGGTTAGATGCAAGGGGGGGGGCAAGGCCCATGTATCTTTAATAGTCGTGTTAACGAGAGAAATGCAACTATTAAAGGATGAGGAATACTTCCCTCTTTGTGTTTGCGAGTCCATCTTATAGAATTTATATTTGCATTTGACCAAAAACAGTCACACACTCTCCAGTTGTTGCTCCACATTCAGAGGTATTTTGTGGTTTTAAAAATATTTATTTTTATTTAATCAAGAATGTATAATTTAATGACGTTGACAAATAAAGACTTAAAGAAAAACAACAACACAATTGAATTAAGTAAACATACACACCCCAAAATAAAATGAACTACAAATTTTGGGTCGTTTCTTTCACAATCCCTGGGGAAAAGAATAATAGTTCCGCATTCAGAGGTGATTGTAAGGAGACTAAGAGTGCAAGCCTATGCACATCAATTCTGAAGTAAGTCTCATTGGGTTTGGTGCAACTTCCACCAGGGGATGAAGGCAAAAAAATTTTGCTTTGGTTCTCATTTTAATGAGAACCCATCAAATCCACCAATACGTGAATCAATATGCACCTGTCCTTTGAAATTCACACTTTTCCTCACTTTGTGATGCAGTTCACCCATCAAAAAATGTTTACAAAAAGGTATATTGGGGGGAAATGTGCATTAAACTTCTGGGATTGGTGCCCTCTGTTCTTGTATCGTGTTGAAGATGCTCTTCTGGGCCAAATGAGATCAGTAAAGAAATTTGTCCAGCAGGAGCCCAAGGAGACTTGGCAGTAGGATGGTGAAAACAGAACTAGTAGAGGTGGCAGAGGTGGAGGTGGTTGCAGGTTTAGTAGACTTGCTCAGGGACTTGTCGGAGGATCGGTTGGTAGAGGTTTTAGAGGAGGATGAGGTGATGGAAGAGCTGGAGGAAGACAAGGTGGTGGAGGTTTTAGAGGAGGTTGGGGTGGTGGAAGATTTGGAGGAAGACAGGGTGGTGGGTGTTTTAGAGGCGCTTGGGATGGTGGAAGAGTTGGAGGAAGACAAGGTGGTGGAGGTTTTAGAGGAGGTTGGGGTGGTGGAAGAGTTGGAGGAAGACAAGTTGGTGGGTGTTTTAGAGGAGGTTGGGGTGGTGGAAGAGTTGGAGGAAGACAAGGTGGTGGAGGTTTTAGAGGAGGTTGGGGTGGTGGAAGAGTTGGAGGAAGACAAGGTGGTGGAGGTTTTAGAGGAGGCTGGGGTGGTGGAAGAGTTGGAGGAAGACAAGGTGGTGGAGGTTTTAGAGGAGGTTGGGGTGGTGGAAGAGTTGGAGGAAGACAAGTTGGTGGGTGTTTTAGAGGAGGTTGGGGTGGTGGAAGAGTTGGAGGAAGACAAGGTGGTGGAGGTTTTAGAGGAGGTTGGGGTGGTGGAAGAGTTGGAGGAAGACAAGGTGGTGAGTGTTTTAGAGGAGGTTGGGGTGGTGGAAGAGTTGGAGGAAGACAAGGTGATGGAGGGTTTAGAGGAGGATGTGGGGATGTCCTGGCTGGCCCCGTCTTTAGCTTTCTCTATGTGGCTGCTGGTAATCATGTAAGTGATCTCTCCAAAGGTCAGCTTCGTGCCGCTGACAAGGTTGCTTGCTGTAGGGGTAGCACACCCTTCTCCAAAAAAGGGCTCAGTTGTAGTACCTGCAAAAGGACAATAAGAGAAAGAAATTATATCATCCCTGCTGTAAAGGAAATGGACCATTCTGATGAAGAAAAGCCTTGCATCTGGGTTGATTTGGGGATTATGAGGTTAACCTGTTAAACCTCACCTGTCCAAGTATCAAATTAGAAGATGGTAAAATCTTTGAGGAAGGTGTGGGGTGGGATTTCGCATAGGCAATACCAGCAGTTGGGACTAAGGAGCTTATACTTCCTTGCGTTTTGTCAACTGGGAACCAAGGGCATCACATAGCCAGAGGGCATGTTGGGGAACCAGGTGAAAGAAAGAGGTCAAGGCAGGTGTCATAATGTCAAGGGCTGGTGGGTGCAAGAAACCAACCATTCTTTCACTATAGGAACTGTGTCTAGAGGGAAAGCTGCAAACATCCTCCAATTCTTTCTGTACTTTTACTCCATTTTAGGGGTTTGCTTTACATGCTTGTAACCATTCGTATTTTTAAACCTTTTCCCTAAGAACAACCTTTTTAATCCTTTTGGTCAACTTTTAATCTAGCTTCACAAAACCTTTGTCGTCTACCTTAATGTGTCACCCTATATACCTGCATGCCAAGTTCTATGCTACCTTGAGGTCTTTTCAATGGGGATCTGGGGCAAGCTGCAAACAGATATAAGCAGCACCTCAAAAAAATGACCATTTTGAGCCAGGCTAACAGTGAGTTCTTGCCAAGCCAGTTATTTGGGTCTCTTTTGTGAACCACAGCTGTTCTTTGAAATTTTCACTTCTCTGAATTTTGCAATGCAGTTCTTAATATATATTTTTTAACTCCTTCTCTTAGGGGAAAGTATGCATAACAAATGAAAATAACAATCAAAATAACAATCAAAATGCATTATTTTAGGGGAAATAAACCCAGACTCACCCGTGTAGAGCCAGTTCAGTGCAGTGGTTAGAGTATCCACTTAGATTCTGGGCTGAAATAACTGGATTTGGGCCAGTTATTACCCCTTAGCCTAACCTACCTCATAAGGTTTATGAGAGAGCAAAGGAGAGCCTGAACTCCTTGGAAGAAGAGCTGGATTAAAATGAAATGAATAGTAATAATCTGCAGTCATCATACTGGCCATCTCTCATGGATGCTTTAGCTGAGATTCCTGCATTGCAGGGGGTTGGACAAGATATCCCTTGGGGTCTCTTCTAACTCTATGATTCTATGATTCTACATTCTGATTTACCTGTTGTTTTATTTATTTATTTATTTATTTATTTATTTACGGCTATTAGCCCATAAAGTATGTACAAACATAAAAGCACAGAGGCATAAAGACTAATATATTCGGCACCAGAAGGTGAAGACCATGATGCAGGGGTGGGTCATTGAGCAAAGCCAGATAACAGCTTGGGGCCCGGAGAGCTCCAAGGGACGGATCCCAGAAAAGGAGAACTGAAGACGAGATCCGACATGCACTCTCTTCAAAACTGTCCGATTAGTTTTTGATGTTGTTGTTTTTGATGGTTTTTGTGTGTGAGATAACTGCATTCAGGAATCTCGCCACCTGCAGAGTTACAGAAGGATCTGTATCCTGCAAAAGTAGTGCGGCATGTGACTCAGCAGGCCTGCCAACCAAGCGCAGTAGAGCAGGGCCCAGGAATTTAGTCCTGGCTATGCTATGTAGGGGCAGTTGAACATTATATGTGAGAGAGAATCAACAGTTTTCCCGTCACACACGCATAGCGGAGACACCAAACCCTTGGAAAATCTGTGGCTCAGCAGGTTCGATGGAAAGACATTGAACCTTGCACGAATAAATGCATGTCGGTGTGGTACAGATGAAAGAGATGACATGTATGATGGGAGGCCAAGTGGTGAGGTTATTCCATGATACCTGGGGGAGCAGACACCCTCACCCCCGGCGAGGTTGAGTTGATTTTCAATGTCTGCTAATCTCTGCTCGATAAGTCTTTTGGCTGAGCGTAAGTTCATCTTTAAGGAGTCCGCTGGGGAAATTCCGATGCTCAGAAGTTTGGCATGGATTTTTCCTACCCACGGATTGACAAAGTCGTCCCGCCAGAGGCACTGAAAAGGTAATGGTTGGGAAGCCTGTGCCAGCTGGACAGCCAATAACCAAAGACTCGCTTCCAGATGACCGTCTCCAATGATGCAATCCTTAACTCCAGACGTATGGCTGCGTTGCTCACACACATGGGGAGTTTCAGGAGGCGACGGAGAAACTGATTCTGCAATGTCCCCAACGATGTTAAATTGGACCCTGGGGCCCAGAGCGGGGCAGCATAACAGAGGGTGGAAACCACTTTTGCATGGTACACCTTCAATGCAGAAGGGATGTGGGAGGCTCCGTCGGCCGCAAAAAATTGGAGTAGAGTATAAAGTATTGTTTTCCCTTTGTTTAGTAAATACTGTATCTGTGGCTTCCAGCTTAGGTTGTAGTGAAAAAAGACTCCCAGATATTTAAATTTGAAAACTTGTTCTAATTGGACTCCATCTAACTTCCAGCTGTAAGTTTTCCGAGACCTGGTAAAGACCAGGACTTTAGATTTCCCATGATTAATTGTCAGATGGTTGAGTTTGCAATAAGCCGCAAAAATCTTTAGAGCTCTGCATAAACCGACTCTAGAGTAGGAAAGGATCGCTGCATCGTCGGCATATAAGAGCAGAGGGCAGCGAAAATCAGCTAGGCGGGGGCATGAATGTTGGCTTGAGACTCATTCAGAAAGAGCTTCATATCGCTAATAAACAAGTTGAAGAGGAGTGGGGCCAAAATGCAACCTTGGCGCACACCTCTATTTATTGGGACCTCATTGGATAGGTTTCCCGCCGGTGTGAGTCTCACTCTAGCCGACGACCCATGGTGTAATTGGATTATAAGCCATAACAGCCTTCTATCTATGCCCCATCTCTCTAATTTCTTCCATAGACAGTTTCTTGGGATACTGTCGAAGGCGGCCTTTAGGTCTATGAAAGCGACACATAGGCGCCCCGACTCGGGGCAGAATATTTTCTGGCAAGATGATACATGATTACCATATGGTCAGTGGTCGAATAATTGTTCCTAAAGCCCGCTTGCTCGTGGCCAATCAAATTTGAGTCGTTTGCCCAATTGGACAGCTTGGACAGCAAAAATTTTGCATAGATTTTCCCGATGATAGACAAAAGGCTGATGTTCCGATAGTTCTCCGGGTCAGCAGGGGGACCCTTTTATGGACTGGCACGATCACGGCCTCCTTCCATGACCTAGGGATAAGCCCCGTAGAATTAATTGCATCAAAGACTTTGGCCAGGATTTCAGCCCACCACCTTGGTTGCGCAACAATAGCCTCAGCAGGGACTAGATCCAGCCCGGGGGCTTTGCCCGTTTTCAGATCTAATATCAAGTCCATTATCAGGTCTGGGTCGATAGAGGGCCACAAAGGTAGATGGTCGGCTCGGAATTCAGTGGATAAGTTGGATTCCTCTGCCAAGGAGAAATATTTGCTCAAGAATTGTTCCCATGTGGGCGCAGGGATAATCGTCAGTGGGTACTTCCTTCCTCTTTTGTTTATCAAAGCCCAAAATTCCTGTGGTCTGCGGGATCTAGAGGCCGCAATCAAGGCTCGCCAACGCTTTAGATACCACTCACGTTTGGCCAGCTTTAAAGTCTGTTTGTATGCTCTTTTGGCTTGTAAATAGGAGGAGATTTACCTGTTGTGATAACCCCAGTAATGGTAAGGCAATGGTCCTGGGATTTGGCGCATTTCATCGTGGTAGCATTGCAGGACTCAGAGCCGAAAACAAAGCATGTTGGGCACATCAGTTCACTGGGAGTGGTGTCTTCCTTTAGCGCTGCAGGAGTAATGAAATGAGTAAGTAAAGAGAAAGAACATCTGCAGTGGCCGGCTCAGCAGTTGACAAGCTGACTTGCTTCAGATCTTCAAAGTGCAAGTTGTAGCCTTCAACTGGGCGCATCACAGACATTTCTCCAGATAGACTCCCCAATTTTGGACCAGCTTAAAACATACAGTGGTACCTCGGGTTAAGAACTTAATTCATTCCGGAGGTCCGTTCTTAACCTGAAACTGTTCTTAACCTGAGGTGCCACTTTAGCTAATGGGGCCTCCTGCTGCCACACCACGATTTCTGTTCTCATCCTGAAGCAAAGTTTTTAACCTGAGGTACTATTTCTGGGTTAGCGGAGTCTGTATCCTGAAGCGTCTGTAACCTGAAGGGTCTGTAACCTGAGGTACCACTGTATTCTGCCTCCCATGCTACCTGAGCATTGCAAAGTTTGGAGAGAGGCTTCCAACCAGTAAAGAACTCTAAGCCCTTTTGGCAGCTTGTGCAAAGCCAGGGCAATAGCTTTATTCACAATCAACAAGACAAAAAAGCTCTTGTGCTATATCCTTCATTTTCCTGACTTATTATATACATTGTTAATAATTTTCATAATGCCCTTCAATAAAAATTCCCAGGGTATTTTGCATGAAAATACACCTATCCATTTCTGAGAGTTCTCCTTAGCCTTAATGAGTCCTGGACCCCACATACCTTCAGGGTTAACAGCATTGCAGTTGTCCTCGTGGCAGCATATGGTTTTAGTGTTCCAGGAAAATTGTTTCCCCGCTGTGATGAACATCTCCTCCTCTTTGCACGCCAAAGGGGTCTGGCTGCTCCAACAGCTACTGAATATACCTGGTGTTGCACTGGAGTTTTCAGCTTCAAAAAAGTAGAAATCAGGAAGGAGTTAGAGATATCAGAATAACAACAACATGTGTTAAAACCAAAGGCTAAGCAATGGCTAACCTTTCCATTAAAGCAGAGAAGGAAAACATTTTCCAGCCTGAGAGCCGCATTGCATCATGGGCTGGTTTCCAGTGGCCAGTGGGGGCAGGGGCAAAAGTGGGTGAAGCTACAGCATTCTTCCCTTTGTACGCTCAACTGCATACCAGTCTTGCAAAAGTCAGGGGTTTCTACACAGACCTCACTGCCTCCAGGCAAGCAAAGAGGTATTATCACTTCCAAGTGGGCAAAAGCACTCAAAGACACTGGCGGAGGAAGAGGAGTGCAAGGGGAGCGCACCGCCCCCGGCAGTGCAATCCCAGCAGGGTGCCATCACAGCTGCCCCCCCGCCCGTGCTGGGTGCCACACCCCCGCAGGTGGCACGCCCCACCCCCAGGACACGCGCCTGCCCTGCCCCCACCTGCTCAACCACTGCTCAAAATTGGAGCACAGCCAGTGAAGAGTGGGGCCTATGGAAAGAGGGGGACCTGGGAAAGGGCAGCTGAGCCTAGTGAGAGCCCCAAGGGGTGGGTAAAAAAGGCTAGAGGGCTGCATTGGGGCCCTGGACCTGAGGTTTCCCCACCTCTGCATTAAAGCATACTTTCAAGAAGCCCCATGGTCAGGCTTCCTGTTTCCGGCGGTGGGAAATGGTTGACTCCCATGAGACCGGACCCTGACCATGCCAATAATTCAGGGCTGATATGGGGGGTAATTAGCCCTGGCAGCCTCCCCAGGGCAGGGGAGGATTGTCTCAAAGACCTGTGGTTTGTCCAAGATTGCCGGCGTGCATTAAGATGCACCCAGCAGGACACTGGGTCAACGAGCACGACAACGGTTGGCACTCTCCAATGCCACTCCCATCTAGCTGGTCACATCTGTTTGGGATAGTATATATATTTGGAAAACAAACAGACGCGGTCTGAAGGAAAAAACCTGCAGAAAATACAGTCTCTGGCGTATGAGCTCGGACTTCAAAGAGATCTTCATCACAGTGTGTGGAATGTGGAGGCGATTGGTATGCTTTCTTTTTCCTCTTTAAGATCAACAATTGGTTTTCATGCCAACCCTCATTAGGAACTTAAGTTGCTTTAAAAAAAAAATATGAGTGCAGATGGACTTTTATTTATAATTGGGACACACACAGCTCTTTTTAAGACTTGAAAGGAGAACAAAGGATAAGATGGCACTTACTTACTACGCAGTTCTAGAAAATTCGGAATTCGTCTCCGATTAAGATAAACAGAAATTAATTGCCAGCTGACAATAACATTTTGGACAACATACAATGCAGGTGTTTCTGAAGGATTTTTTTTTTTTTCAGTTTGAGTGAGAGAAAAGGCTAAATGGGTGTCTAGCGGCCCCCCCTCTAGGACCCGGAGGGGGGGTTGAGTGGTTTCCAGGAAGGTTGATCGATCGCCAAATGATTGATATATACATATACAACAAAATGAACAGACTGCTTAAGAACAATTCAACACTTGATAACAGCTGGACAGGAAAGATTAATGATTTGAGAGCTGCCAAGATATCAAATTCAAAGAACTGGACAAAAGCCTGGACTGGATGGGGTCAGCTGAAGCGGTGCGAGGGGGAGAAGCAGTGGAGGGGAACATAATATAAACAAGTCTGCACTCGGAGGGCACAAGTTTCTTCTTGTTTTTTGTTGTGTTGAAGATCGCAGAGCCAGAGGCAAAGAAGTTTGTAGAGATAAAGTCGGATATGGAAATATGGAAAGATCGTGAGAGGCAGAACTAAGAATTCAGAGTTGCTTTGAAGTTCAGGCCATGGGAAGCCGTAAAACAAGAATCAAATTTGGAAGACAATTGGATTTTTTTAATTTTAGGGTTTTTTTATTGGATTATGAATTGAATGTTAATTGGATGTTCTTATTGGAAAATTAATTGTCAAGGAGCTGTCAAGGAGCCAGGTCAACCACAGAGCAGGCACAGAAGGCAATTAGCCAATCTTTGACTCCTCTCTGTCTGAGTCAGTGACGCTCAGCCTCTATCCTCCTTCTCCTGACCCCTCTTGGTCACTCAGACAGCCTTCCTCCCAGCACCTCCCATCTCGACCCTTCTGCAAACTGCTTTTCTGTTTCCCACCACCAGGATCCAGAATCTTAAGTTGGCCTCTTCTGTGCACTTGCTGGGAGGCTCTTAAGTGGGTGACTCCCACCACTATTCCTCATCCAGCCAGGGCCTGATATCCTGTTACAATCTGTAATACGCTGTCAAGTTTGCACTATTCAAATGGAGAGCTTGGTATTGGACATGTGATTCAATATCATGAAAATCTTGGCTGTATTCTCACCACCACCACCACCACGTTTTTTAAAACCTACGTTTCCAGCAAGCTTTCTGTTAGTGTTATCTGGAAATTCCCTCAGAGGTGCATTCACCTACCAGTTTTAATGTTCCCTGTCACAGCGATGCATGCTCCTTCTTTGTCAGCTGTGCAAGTTGTTCCACTTGTGCAGTTTGTACATTCGCAACTCAGAGATTTTGCTGAGGGGAAAATAATAATATCAATAACAGTAAATGACAACATCTACTGCAATTATGGTGGTAGCAACAACCTGATCTGTTATTTCTTTTGTTTATGTTTTACTTTCTGAACTCGACCTTTCCTTCAAGGAATTCAGGGTGATGTGCTGGAGAAACTGATGTTTCACACCAGCACAACCTAGGCCACAATTGCTCCACACATTTAAAACGCTGCGATGCCACTTTAAGCAGTCATGGCTTCCCCCAAAGAATTCTGGGAGTTGCGGTTTGTTAAGGGTGCTGAAAGATTGAGGGCGCAAGGAGAAGGGGACGACAGAGGACGAGATGGTTGGACAGTGTTCTTGAAGCTACCAGCATGAGTTCGACCAAACTGCAGGAGGCAGTGGAAGACAGGAGTGCCTGGCATGCTCTGGTCCATGGGGTCAGAAAGAGTCAGACACAACTAAACGACTAAACAACAACAACAAGGGTGCTGAGAGTTGTTAGCAGGCCCTTGTTCCCCTGGGATTGATTGTTAAACTACTGTATGAATACCAGCCATCTAGCTCTGGGAATTGGAGCTCTATGAGGGAAATAGGGGTCTTCTAAAACCTCTCAGTAACCTTCTTGAACTACAGCTCCCACAATCCTTTGGGAGAAGCCATGACCTGCAGCTCCACAGCACTACAGGATTATCACCCTTGGTGTACGTGGGTTCCCCCTCTCCAGTTACTTTTATTCTCACAACAGCTCTGTGAGGTATGTCAGTCTATTAGTGGGGTTGTTGTTGTTTAGTCATTTAGTCATGTCCGACTCTTTGTGACCACATGGACCAGAGCACACCAGGCACATCTGTCTTCCACTGCCTCCTGCAGTTTGGTCAAAATCATGCTGGTAGCTTCGAGAACACTGTCCAACCATCTCGTCCTCTGTCGTCCCCTTCTCCTTGTGCCCTCCATCTTTCCCAACATCAGGGTCTTTTCCAGGGAGTCTTCTCTTCTCATGAGGTGGCCAAAGTATTGGAGCCACAGCTTCACGATCTGTCCTTCCAGTGAGCACTCAGGGCTGATTTCCTTAGGAATGGAGATGTTTGATCTTCTTGCAGTCCACAGGACTCTCAAGAGTCTCCTCCAGCACCATAATTCAAAAGCATCAATTCTTCAGCGATCAGCCTTCTTTATGGTCCAGCTCTCACTTCCATACATCACTACTGCGAAAACCATAGCTTTTAACTATACGGACCTTTGTTGGCAAGGTGATGATTAGTGGGGTAGGAGAGCTGTAAATAAAGCCAATATTCTTCACATCTGGCAACCAATGCACCCCTTTGGTATCAGATAATACATGGGTAGATGAGTCTAAAAAGACCAGGGCACAAATTTTCACAGCCTCTAGCAACTATGGTGGCTCATTTACTAGATGATATTTAGTGTTAACTCTGGAAGTGTTTACTCGATTCTGACCAAACGAAGCCTCCTAATATATATTTTGCTCTAGGAGGCTTAGTTTCATTAGAATCGAGCATATATTTCCAGAGTTAATACTAAATACATTACTCCTGGTAAATGAGCCACTATAGCCATGCAAATTTGTGTCCCAGGCCTTTTGGACTCATCTCCCCATGTACTATCTGAAACCAAAGAGGCGCATTGGTTGCCAGGTGTCCCCCCCCCCAGCTCTCCTACCCCACTGATTGATTAGAGTAGAATCCTGCTTTCATTCCTAATTTCATCTGGGGGAGAGCTGAGGTGAGAGGACTCTGAGCTGCCTGCTCTGACAGAGGCTAGTTATACCCCTAGTTATACAACTCAACTCACCTGAAGCTATCAGGGCAGCAAAATGGTAGAGAAGAAATAGCTTCATGGTTCTGGGAACTGAGGAGGTCTGGTTTGAATGGAGGGGAAACGTTCCAGTGAGGCGATTTCTGTGGCTGCAGGACCAAAATGATGAGTGATTAGAACAGCAAGCTGGAAACAACATGAGGACAACCTAACAAAACAGAGTTTGGAGGTACAGCCAGGCAGATGGAGCTGTAGTGTGTCATGTAGCCGGGAGTGCCCACGGCTGGAGCTGCTGGGAGTTGGAGCCCAGCAATATCTGGAGGGCTGCAGATTACCCCTCTCTATTTGGGGCAGAATTTTTTTTCACCCCCTTGATCTCTCCACTTTAAAGGTCTACTACACAGGTGGGGGACCTCTGGTCCTGCAAATGTTGCTGAACTGCAACTCCCACCAGCCCCAGCAAGCATGGCCAGTGTTCAGCATTGATGAGATTTGTAGTTCAGCAACATCTGCTGGGCCAAACCTTCCCTGCCCCTGCTGGGGATGTGCAGATTAGAGCATTCCCAATTCTGCTGCTCTAGGCTTCCGTTGCAAAGTCCCATCAATGTGACAAAGAAACGGACCAACATTATCCCCATAACAGAGGATGCCTGTGAAACCTTAACACCTGAACAAATAAGCCTTCTTTTCATGTATGCTGGTTGAGCTGGACATCTCTTAGAGGAGCACCCTCTCTCATCTGTCTTCTGTTCCCCCACCCACTGAGCAAAAGCAGCTACCCATGGATTGCAAGAGCCCTAGTAACATTAATACTTGCATTATGACAAGTCCACCAGTCTGTATATTGTCTACAGACAAGCAATGAGGCTTCAAGGATTCAGGAAATTTTAAAGGGAATTTTGAGGCTCCTTCAGCCTTCCACAGCCACACCTTATCTGATAAACTTCAAGAGGAAAGTGTTAAGCAAAGGAACAACATCATTGTGCTCCTTAAACAAACATTCTCAAGTGAAGTGGGACAAGAAGAAAACCAGAAATGGATCTGCGTGGATCTGTGTGTGTGTGTGGAGAGAGGGAGAGGTTTGTGGGCTCAGCAATAATGGTGAAAATCTTGCCTAAACATGGCTCTGGGGCAACCAGCTGGTGAATACTAAGTGTGTAAGGAGACAGGATACTGTTCCGCAATGAGCTAGATGGGTCAATGGTCTGACATGAGGAAAAGTAGCTTCCTAAGTCCTGGAGTAAGAGTAGTCAAGCCTACCTTGGGTTACCTCTAGGCATTGGGGAGAAATTTGATTTAGTCTGCCTTTCCAGGCAAGCTTGCTTGATTTGCACTTTGAAAAGCAATCAGCCACCCAAAACACAACCATCCTTTGAAATTCACACTTGTCTGAATTTTGCAATGCAATTCTCCAGCCAAATATTTTGCACATAAATGTATATACTAGGGTAAAGAGTGTGTGAAAATGCATCTGTTCATGAAAATAACATACAAAAATGCATTTTAGGCAAGTCCCCATTTACACGAGTTCAATAAGTGTGCACATTGCACAGAATCCAGAAACGTCACAAAAAGGGATGGAACGAGGCGGGGAGGGGGAGCAGGCTTTTTTCAGTGGTGTTTCAAATATACATGATTTCACTTAAACAAACAGTGACTTGGAATGCAACCCATATGTACATTGGGAGTTGCCTTTATATTATGGGGAAATGCTTTGCAGAATTGTGTACGTCACGCAAAATTGCATAGAAACGTGTGTATCAGGCAAAAGTCACACCCAAATCCTGATAACTCTTCAGGAGAGAAAAATTGGAAATGAGAAACTGAAACTGAAATTGACAGAATTGCCCATTCCAAATTACCTGCTCTCTGCGGTTTGCATGACAATAGCTCAGGTAGCAATCCCATTTGCTCCCACCCAAAAGAATATCTGGGCAAGGTCAGTAGACAAAGGGCTGTCCTTCCCTCTTCGCTCAACAATTTGGGGCAGGACCCCAGGGTGTGTGCTGCAAGGAGTGTGTATGCAAGGAGAATGTGCCTTGTGTGAACACACAGCACCTGAGAGCAAGAGGAGGGTCACACCCTCATAGCAAACACATCTCTCTGGGAGAGGGTGGTTTGGGGAACATTTTGGCTGAAAACCATGTAACAGAGATGACAGGAATGGATGGAGCAGCGGGCCAAGGAGAGAGGAAGTGAGGTTGGAAGGGAGAAAGTGAGTGGAGTGAGGTGGCAAATGGAACTGCAATGCTGGCATTTGAGCCTTTATTGGGATTTACATCTCTGCAATGCTGATAACTTGACACAGAGCTCACTTTCATGGAAACCAGTTTGCTGCATTTCAGGTTGGGCCCTGGATAAGGAAACTTCGACAAGAAAGAGGAGGTTGTCCAAACAAAGGAATTTTCAGACCCACACGGGGGCTGCAGGGACAGCGGTGCACCCCAGATGTTTAGCTCAAGCCCATGATGCTTCTTTGCACTCCACCCCTGAAATCCCCCAAGTTTTGCCATCATGGGGCATCACAGCACTTAATGTTTATCAGATGTTCTGCTTTTTAAAAGATCAGTGGAGCCTTCGCCAAAATGTTTCAGTGTTGTGGGTGTGGGGAATCTCTGGCCTTCCAGATGTTGCTAACTCCCCATCATCTGTGGCCATTGGTCATGCTTGCTGGGGCTGGTAGGAGTTGTACTTCAGCACATCTGCAGGGCCAAAGGTTCCCCGCACCTGCAGCTTTCATTCTGGAGTGGTTAAATCCTGGGTTACTATGGGCAGGTTTTTTTACACCACGTCAGATCATCTATCTAGCTCAGGATCAACTACATGGACTGGCAGCTGCTCTTGAAGGTTTTAGAAAGAAGGCCTTATCAGCTGGATCTGGGACCTTATGCATACAAAGAAAAAATAACTCTAATATTTTATGGGGGAAATTAATTAATCACAGTTGCATTTACTTTCACTTTTTGAAGGATCTGCTAAGTCTGTATAGACAAGAGATCTCTTGATATTTGTGCTTGCTGCAACAACGCTATTCGTTGCCCAGATGTGTCAGAGAGTAGACCTATGATGTAAAAATGTGTGCAGTTTGGCTGTACCTGTAATGTAACATGCAATGTAATGGTGCTGAACGGAAAGCAAAAGAAAGCAGACGCCTTTTATGCCACCTGCTGGCAGTTTATTTCCTATGCTAGGGGAAAGAAACTGTGAAATAGGTTTTCAGCTGTATATCTGGATGTTGTGACCGGTGGGTGGACGCTTCCATACAACCCTGATAAAAGATATTATAAACACTGGTGATGCTGCGGGCAGAGGGAAGGGGGTGGCAGGATTATGTTTAGTTTGCTAGTTGTATTTTGATGTGCAGCTATTAAAACCAACGCAAATACTTACAAAATAATAAAATAATAATTTCACTGGGGAGGGGGCCCTGTAGCACCAGGGGAGGCATCCAACTTCAATAGTTTTAAAGGATGATTAGATAAATGAATGGAGGGTGACTGTCAATGGCTGCTCATCATGATGGCTACATTATTCCCATGATCTGAGGCAACATGCCTCTCAGTACAAGCCACTGGGGATCCTGAGTGTGAGAGTACTATTTAATAGGTTGTTCACTGCTGTGAGGACAGAATCAGGACCATATTAAGACCTTTAGAGGCCTGAAGCACTGAAAAGATTTTGGTGTTCCCCAGTGCTGTTTTTCTAGAAAAAGAGGTGCTGGAACTCACCATGAACACATCCCTTGTTCTCTTATAATGGCAATGGCACCCACCTGAGAGGTGATGAAACTAAGTTCTGGTTGGTGCTCCTAGTCCTGGAGCTCCCCCATAAAAACAATACTAAGTTGATTGATTGATTGATTGATTGATTGATTGATTGATTGATTTGCAGGTGAGAAGATTAGGGCAGAGGTGTTATGATTATGCTTAGCTGTCTAGTTATATTTTGTTATATGTCTATGAAAACCAATAAAAGTATTATTATTATTATTATTATTATTATTATTATTGCTTCATTGTGGTGGAGGGGGCCCTGTGAGTGCCAGGGGAGACCACCAACTTGAAAAGCTTTAAAAGGGATAGATAAACCAATGACTGGTGACCATCAATGGCTACTACTCATGAAGGCTACATTGCCTCCAGTATCTGAAGCCACAGAGCATGAGACTCTTAATTTCAGGGTCATTGATTCGAGCCCCAAACTGGGCAAAATATTCCTGCATTGTAGGGGGTTGTACTGGATGACCCTTGTGGTCCCTTCCAACTCTACAAATTCTCTGATTCTGTGCAGGTCTTCTCAAGACCAGTCCCTGGGGATCATGAGTAGGCGAGTGAGCTAGATGGAATATTGGATGGAGCTAGATGGAGAAGTCTAAGGCAACTTCCTATGTCCCTTTCGAACAGAGCAAACTGCTGGTATGTGGCATGGCATGCTAAATGTAAAATGGAGTCCTTAAGGTATACACAAACACGAGTCTCTCCCTGTGGTTTCACCACCTTGCACAATTTTTCAGGATCTGAAAGAAGAGGATGGGGCTGTTCCCTATGATGTCTTACCCCTCCCCCTTTCAAAAAGTTGACAAAACAACTGATTGCGTATGAAGAAAGCACATTTGGAGTCAGTGGACCAGCAGCATTTAGAGTGAGTGGGCCAGTGCTGTTGTTTTTCCACTGTGCCCATAAAGACAGCTTGCCTACCACTCCTGATCATCCCCGGCCATGCAGGGCTCTGGGTATGTGCTGTGTACGTTCTAGGATGTGGCAGGATCAGTGGCCTGGCAATGAACCACAGAAATGGCATGTGCACCCTAGAATGTTCCCTGGAATCTGCTGTTCCTTGTAAGCAGAAGTGCCAAGCTATTCAGGGATGCCACAGAACAGCTTCATGCTGACCTTCCCAAATATCTCCTCTTTGCCACTGAAGCCTTATGCAATCACCCCTTCCCAAGAACCAGCATGTCCTGGATGTAAGGCGGACTAATATCCCTAGCAAAGCATTCCTCCCTTACCTGGTTTTCTTTCCCTTGCTTTGTTGGCAGGATATCTTTATGCAGAGGCACCAGCTGAGAGGCGTTAGGTTGGTGGTGTGAGATATATATACTCTCCAGCAAAAGGTGAGTAAGTAGCCCTATCACTGGGCAGGGAGAAGATATGAAAAGAAAAGGCAGTTTCGAGGAGGGCGTTTTAAGGTGGAGAGAAATATGTGATAAAGAAGGAAACAGGGAGGTGTGACAAAGAAGGAAAGAGGGCAGACATGTGTGTCTTGTGGGGGAATCTGTGGATCCAATTGTGCCATGGAATTTTTTGTTTGTTTGTTTATTCAGGACTGTTTTCCTCCAATCACCAGAAGGAAGCAAATGGCTGCCCTGACACGAAGCATTTCCAAGGGGGGGCATGAAGTAAGTACAGGTGAATCAGTCTGTTTTGGTTTCTCTCTGTTTCTCATTTCCCCCCAATCAAATTCTCCACATTTGCACAAGGGATTGGCAAAGCGGGTAGGAACAGGCAGGACTGATGAACCACGCAAGCAGTGGTGACAACCCCTAGTACTCAGTATTTCTGTAGCACAAGCCATACACAGAAACTTTCTGCCTCTGAATGGCAATGGCCAACTTTTGCACATCATGCACTCAAACCAGGGTTTTAATCAGATGAGCAAATAAGCAGGTTCCTGGACCGAGGATCAAGACTGCTGTACTTCTTCCCTGTTCCTACTGCTGTCCTTCCCTGGGGAAAGCCATGATTTGGCTGAACAGTACATCCGGACCTGGCCTTGTGGTTTGTCTCACTCCAGAGAAACCATGAGTTGCAATCAAGAGTTATTCTTGTTTGGCAAAGCTATTGACTCATGTGCCTCAGCTGTCAGGCCTAATGCACAAGCTGAGTGAATGTGCAACCGAGGACAAGCCTGTAAATTTTACCTCTGCCCAGCAGTATTTCTGTCTTGCCACACAGACATGAGTCGGAGTTCAAGGACCCATGCCAGCCAGGCAAAAGTAACCTAAGAGGCTTCAGAAGGCCACATTTGGACCCCAGGCCTGAGGTTCCGCACCCGTGGTCGGACTTTCAAGCTCTATCCATCAGAGCTTCGCAAACCAGATTTGGGCACAGTGGCCACTCAGGGCTGCAGCTTGCTCTCAAAAGGCACAGGTGAAATGGTGCACATCTCTGATGCTTATTGTCATTATCATTTGGCGTATTTAAGCAGCTCGCTTCAAAAATGCTTCTAAGCGACTTCCAAGAAAATTCAGGGCCAAAAACAATGACCCTTAAAACAGACCCAGCAGAAGAGCCAAGCTTCAGCCACAAGAAACATGGAGCAGCAAACGGCCACGTTTTGTGGGTTTCGTCTTAATCTTTGAAATCAATGCTCATAATTACAAACAAAAGAATACAAGGGTAGAGAAAGCTGAGCTTGATCAGATGACAAGCGAGGCTTAACCCACAAGTGAATTGTACGTTCTACAACAATTTAAGTAAAGATGTAACAGGATCAAGCATTTAGGCTTACCTAAGCTTAATCATGAAAAGTGAAACTTATTTTCAGAAAGAAAGAAAGAAAGAAAGAAAGAAAGAAAGAGGGGAGAAGGACTATGACTATATAATTATCAGGGCTGTCTTGAGCATATGTGGTGCTGGGGTGCAAAAATCCGCCTGGCACACAAACCCTGTCACCGCCGCCTTCTGGACAGAGCTGCTGCAGCTGGAGCTCGATCGGATGCCAGGTGTTGGCAACAGGGAGGGGGTTGCAAATAAAATAAAATGGCCAGGGACTCTGCTGAACCGATTTCTTTGTCGCCTGTGTTGCCCTCCCTGCTCATATGTTGCCCTCCATCTCGAGCAAGGCGCCTAAAATTTGGGAGGCAGAGAAAGGGAAGGAGGAAAGTTAAGGCTGGCTGCCACCGGGCATCCAAGTGGCAAGCCTCTGTGGGCGGCTCATGAAAGCCCGTCTGGGGACCTGAAACGCCCGCTCGCTTTGGTCCCCTGGTGGCGCGGCACCTTAAGATTTTGACGATGACTCTGCCAACAGACGCTGGGCAAGAGGGCGGGGAGTTGGGGTGGAGAGCCGCCCACAGCAGAAGAGACCACCACGGCACTCCAACAGACGGGCAGGCTGTTCCCCGGACTCAACTCTCAGCCCCAGACTCTTGGCCTGGTGTCCCTGAGAACCTGGCACCTGGGTGCCCCGCACCCCTAGTGCATATGGGTAAGACGGCCCTGATAATTATGGGAAAGTCTTGAGTAGCAGATCAGATGTAGCTTCCTAACTGTAAAGCAGGTGTGAGGAAGCTCTGGCCATTCAGATTGTTGCTGAACTACATCTCTGATCATCCCTGGACACTGGCCATTCTTACTGGATGGAGCTGATGGGAATTGTAGTTCAGAGCCAAAGGTTCTCCATGCCTGCTTTAAAGCAATGTAAACTGGGGTAGCGATTTGAGGGGGGCATTCTTTTTCATGCTAGTTTATTCAAAGAATTCACAGCAGGGAATGACAAAGAATCACAGTGACCCTGCAAAAAGTGGAGAAAGTTTCTCCCGCTTGCTCCTTTCAGCCGCTGTTGGTGGCTGGGGATGGGCTGCACTTGATTTTCTTCAGGAGGAAGTCCATGGCTCCAGTAACGAGGTACGTCTGCACAGGCAAATTGCAGGCAGTTGCTGAGGCACAGCCTGATGCTATAAAGGGAAGAGCGGCAGCATCTCCTGAAGTAGAGAATAGAGATGGAGACAAAAGTTGATTCAGTTCCCATTAAAAGGTCAGCCCTGACACATACCTTCCAAAACAAAAGGGTGTGTTGTTGTTGTTGTTGTTGTTGTTAGCCACCCCAGCCACTCTGGGCAGCTTCCAACACAATTTTAGGCAAATAGTTGTTTATCTGTTTGACATCTGATGGGAGGGCATTCCACAGGGCAGCCACCACTACCAAGAAGGCCCTTTGCCTGGGTCCCTGTAGAAGAATGTGTTCTGGGAAGGAGAAGGAAGAAGAATTACTGGGGTCCATCTTGGGCAGGCTGCTGCAATGGGTGTGGGGGACAAGCCTCTATTGAAATAACCATGCTATAAGATCTGGACTTCCTGCTTAGGGAAGTTTTTAATGTTTTGTGTTTTATTGTATTTTTAATACTTTGTTGGAAGCCGCCCAGAGTGGCTGGGGAGACCCAGCCAGATGGATGGGGTATAAATAAATTATTATTATTATTATTATTATTTATTATTATTATTATTATTACTCCATGCAGACTGAAGGTGTAAATAGGTGAATAAGGCATGTTTTTTGAAGCTATGACAGTCTCTGCAGGGTCTCAGTTCTCCAAAGGAGCATGGACTATGGGTGAGTGCCTGGTATCTCTTGGAATCTTGCTGCAGCTTGGCAGAGAGTACAATATCAATTCTATTAGTGTTTAATTACATTTTAATAATTGACTTTTTATGTTTTTAGCTTGTTCTAATTTTTCTGTGAAAGTCTTGAGTCCTGGACTAGGAAAAGGGAATATTATTAGTATTAGTATTAATCATTTTATTCCAAACAGACCAAAATGAGAGGGGGTGGACTTTCCTGCAGCAGCCGTTAGAAAGGGATGGTCCTTTGATTCTCTTGGCTGACAGAATAGGTGAAAGGTAGGGAGCAGCTCAGTTATGAGACTTAGTGCTTGAATTCTCCAGGGAAGCAGATGCAAGACGTCCGTCTTTTGCAATACTAGAGAACACTGGTGCTCTGGGACCCAACAGGAGCTTAAAGTGAGTCCTACCTGCAGTTAGCTCCCCGGCCGCAGAGATGCAATTATTTTCATCTCCTGTGCAACTCAGAGTCCCGGGTTCTTCTAAGCGGTTAAAGCCAAGCACAAAACTGGTGGGACAATTCACTCCATTCTTTGTGAGGTTCTTGGGTGGTACTGGAGGGACGCAGGAAAGAGAGAAAGCAGACCGCGTTAATAAAACAGCAATTGTCAAAGCGGGTACAATTGGGAATAAATAAATAAAAGAATCCCAAGTTCCTGGAAGCCCAAAGCACTCAGACAGAAGCAGCTGTGCATGTCAAGGGGTGGAGAAATCCTCTGGCCTGCCAGCCAATTGTGGCACACTTCAGATCCCATATTCAGTAGTAACCTCATCCATATGCCCAACATTTCTCGATCTACTGGACCCCCCATGTGTGTGTGTGTGTGTCTACATTATCACTAGAAAGCATTCCAGACCCCCCCTTCTCCCAGAACCTGGTGAGCCTTCAAATTAGGAGAGCAAAGGGCTCAGAAGCAAAGGGCCCTCAATGCCACCCGTGGAAGGAATGACGAATGAGGAAGTGGAAGAGAAGGGAAGGGGAGATTTACTGGCAGAAATGCCATTATTCCTAGAGGCAGCATTTCTAAGCATCTCTCTGTGACTATTGAATAAAACGCAGTTGGTAAGAACTTTCCCTTGTCTTGTCCATTCCTGGCAACCTGCTGTGGGGGTTGGTTCCTCTGCTGCCTGACACCCAGGCCATTAGCTTAAGTTTGTGACATTGTAAGGGTCAGAGAGCGACATCAAGCCTTCGGTTGTCTTGAGCCACCGTACAGGCACTTGGCATACAAAGGCAGGGGAGAAGCTGTTGAAATAAATCATTAGCCATCAGGGATCATTAACCCCCTTTGCCATTGAGAGCCACTCAATGGAAAACTAGCAACAGGTCCTTTTGTTGTGGGCTGTGGCAAAGGGTGATGCTGTGAGAGCAAACAGAGAAGCATGTCAGACCATGGGGCCATCTAGGCCAGTATTGTCTACACTACTGGCAGCAGCTCTCCAAGGTCTCAGACAGAGGCCTTTCCCAGTCTTGCCTGGGCATGCTGGGGATGAATCTCAGACCTTGTTCACACAAAAGCAGGTGCCACAGTCCTAATGTCCTTGGCTAACTGTCCCCGCTCCCAAAGCAAACTTATCAAGGTCTGGACCTCCCTTCACATACATTCAAGGGGAGTATTATTGCAGTTTTCTGTCATGCAGCATTTGGAAACGGTCCTCGTAAAAAACCCTCCAGCCACAGTAACAGAGACGGCTTCATTGCAAAGCTGAGAATCCTGCTGGCAGCCCCTGGATATTCCTGTGGCAGCGATTCCTCCTGTTTAAAAAACAAAACGAAACAGAGGGGAATCATAATGGAGTTGGTGAACGTGCCTACAAGGTGGTACCTGCCTGAGGAAAAGGACAAGATGTCACCGCTGCCACCCATTGCTAAAGACAATTTGGATGGAGCAGAATTGCACACATAAAAATGGAGGAAAATCACAAAGGGGTGAGGGGACCCGTCTGCAAGGCAGACATTTTCCTGCCTATATTTTGATAGGGAAATACATTTTCCAACTATTTTGGGTTAGGGTTTCTTTAAAATAATAATAATAATAATAATAATAATAATAATAATAATTTGCAGAGTGACACAGAAATGAGACAGAACAGACTTCTGTAAACGCATTAGTGAAAACAGGCTGATTAACCCACCCCTGTTCTTTGTGAGTACCTGCCTGACTTCAGGAGGTAAGAGAGCGTGAAACAGAGCCTCCTTTAAAAGCCTCATGTGCCCAACAGCAGGACCGGGCCTGGCAGTTCAGTTTTCAATGGATCAGACTGGTCCTGGAAGCTTCTCCTGCAAATGTAGCCCAGAGGTGAGCGGGCTACAGGTGCAAGCACAAGGGAAATACGCATATACCTACCCATGTTATTCTCCTGGGCCACTGTTATGCAGATGGCTTCTGACTCTGGAATTGAACAGGTACCAGTACTGCATGCTGGGCTTTCAGTACAGACACAATTTAGGGAGTTTGCTAGCAGAAAAAGAAAATAGGGATGGAGAGGAGGAGAGAAAGCAACGTTGTTTCATTATTTCATTTCATAAATTTTAAAGTATGCTTTTAAAATTGAATAATAATAATAATAATAATAATAATAATAATAATAATAATTTATTTATACCCCACCCATCTAGCTGGTTTCCTCAGCCACTCTGGGCGGCTCCCAACAGATTAAAAATACTCTAAAACATCAAATATTAAAAATTTCCCTAAACAGGGCTGCCTTCTGATATCTTCTAAAAGTCAGATAGTTGTTTATTTCCTTGACATCCGAAGGGAGGGTGTTCCACAGGACGGGTGCCACTACCAAGAAGGCCTTCTGCCTGGTTCCCTGTAACCTCACTTCTCGAGTGAGGGAACTGCCAAAAGGCCCTCAGAGCTGGACCTCAAAGTCCGGGCTGAATGATAGAGGTGGAGACGCTCCTTCAGGTATACTGGACCGAGGCCGTTTAGGGCTTGAAAGATCAGCACCAACACTTTGAATTGTGCTCGGAAACGTACCGGGAGCCAATGTAGATCTTTCAGGACTGGTGTTATATGGTCTCGGCGGCCGTTCCCAGGCACCAGTCTAGCTGCTGCATTCAAATAATTCAAATAATTCCAGGTGGGATGCATGGATTCGTTCCTGCTCACATCCTCCTCACAGAACTTCTCAGTTGCTGTGGGAAACTGGCAAGTGCTCCCCACCACCCCTCCCTGCGGCTTCCAGCAGCCAGCATTCAGAAGCATTACTGCCTCTGACCACAAGAGCAGGGCAAAGCCATTGTGGGCAGTGGCCATTGATAGCCTTGTCCTCTGTGATTTTGTCTAATCCTCTTTTAAAGCCATCTAAGTGGCCGTCCATGGAGTTTTTGCCAACAAAGGTCCGTATAGTTAAAGCTATGGTTTTCCCAGTAGTGATGTATGGAAGTGAGAGCTGGACCATAAAGAAGGCTGATCGCCGAAGAATTGATGCTTTTGAATTATGGTGCTGGAGGAGACTTTTGAGAGTCCCATGGACTGCAAGAAGATCAAACCTATCCATTCTGAAGGAAATCAGCCCTGAGTGCTCACTGAAAGGACAGATTGTGAAGCTGAGGCTCCAATACTTTGGCCACCTCATGAGAAGAGAAGACTCCCTGGAAAAGACCCTGATGTTGGGAAAGATTGAGGGCACAAGGAGAAGGGGACGACAGAGGATGAGATGGCTGGATATTGTTCTCGAAGCTACCAGCATGACCAAACTGCAGGAGGCAGTGGAAGACAGAAGTGCCTGGCGTGCTCTGGTCCATGGGGTCACAAAGAGTCAGACATGACTAAACGACTAAACAACAACAAGTGGCCGTCACTGTCTCCTGTGGGAACAAGTACCATAGTTTAACGACGAGCTTCGTGTTGGCCTCACCTGTAGCTACAAGGGCAGCAGAAAGGTGGAGGAGAAACAGCTTCATCTCTCTGGGAACCGGAAAGGTCCGGCTTCAACAATGGCGAAACACCAAGGTCTGGTGGTTTCTGCAGCCGCAGGACTGAAAAGGTAAGGGACAGGTTAAGCCAGCAAGAGAGAATCAGCCCAGCATAGAAGGACAACGGTGTCCAAAGGGATGTCAGGCGAGACTGGGAAAAACCTCATTCTAATACCTTGGAGGTTTCCACCACCTTGTGGCTCAAATCCTGTGGAATGATATGAGCCCACTCAGCATATTCATTAACACAGCTGATTAACGTTTAATCTGGAATGTGGCTTGCCTGTTCAGTGTGCATAGGAAACATCAACAATTGATCTGAGAAAACTTGGTATACTTGTTTGCATAACATTATTCTTGTTTATAAAACCCAATTGAAAAAAGAAAAAAGAAAAACAATTGATATGGCTTTTTGGCATTCCCTGTTTAGGGAAGTTTTTAATGTTTGAAGTTTTATTCTGTTTTTAGTGTTCTGTTGGGAAGCGCCCAGAGTGGCTGGGGAAACTCAGACAGATGGGTGGGATATAAATAATGAAAGTATTATTATTATTATTATTATTATTATTATTATTATTACCATTTTCCTAATATGGATGCAAATGGAAGTTTATTCTGTGTCTCACATGCCTACTGTTCCCTTCGCCTGTGACATGTGCTCTCAGAAGCCTGTCCCTTCTTTGGCTATGTACACACCTTGCAGTTTGTTAAGGGTGCTGGGATCTGTAGCTGTGAGAATTCTTCTGAGGAATGAATGTGCTTTAAATGGTTGGTGTCCATGCAGCTTCCCCTTGAACCCTCTGCCTGCTTCCTGTCTGTCTCTTGTGTGTTTTTCTTTCGCTCTCACTGTGAGTTTGTCTGCTATGCTGGTCGCACTGACTGGCTTAAGCAATCATCTCTCTTTCTCTCCACTTTGGTGATTCCAAGCTGTAAATTGAGACCAAGAGCATTGACTGAGTTCCTCATTTTTGCAATTCAGATCAGAGTGCTCTGCCAGGAATCGACTGGTCAGCTTGGGCAGCTGCCCACACTTCAGAATGCCAGCTCTTGTATTACTTGGCAAAGGCACAAAACAGAATGTATTAAGCTTAGTTGTCACTGTTCGTGCCACAGGCATCTCTGAAGAGAGCCAGCTGCATCCAACCAACTCCTACTCAGAGTAGAAATGTTGGGCTTAATGGTCATGACTGGACTTAGTTCTATGGGCCTACTCTGAGCCATGGTTGGTTATAACCCAACTGATTTTCGAATCTGGGGGTTTAATTTATTACACTAAGATTTATGCAATGGCTGTTCAATAAAAATGGAACTGGCATACCCACCCAGGTTCAGAATCACTTTGCTATGGTTTTCGTTGGTTTATTCTGTATTTTGTGTTCTCATTTTGTATTGTCATGTTGTGATCTGCCCTGTGATCTTCGGATGAAGGGCAGTATACAAATTTATTAAGTAATCAAATGCACTAGCTGGTTTGCATACACTGAGTATATGCCCTACAACCTAGAGCAGGCATGCAGCCATCTAGACATTGTTGGACTACAACTCCCATCATTTCTAACCATTGGCCATGTTGGTGGTGGAGTCTAGCAACTTCCGGAATATCAAAGGTTCCCCATTCTTCTAGAATAAGTTCCAGAAACTTTGTATCCCTCAGAACACAGGTTAGTATGGAAAGAGTTAGCTGTAAGAGAAATCTGGGAAACACAAACTGAGCTGAGAAATGTTTATGTGTAAGCATGAATATTTAAGTGTGTGTCTCTCTCTGTGTGTGTATTTCAGATATGCAAGATAAAAAAGAACAACATAAACTGCAAACAATAAATACAAAAAAATGCAATTATTGTTCAAAAGAAAAATAAAATAACTTTTCTGTAGAAAATCAGAAGGTTTATCCCAAAACAAATAACTACAATGAGAATAAGATCAGCATCATGTATCATTGTTCAGTGCGCACCAGGTAACATCAAGCAGCAAATCAAACAGCAAGTGTTCCAGCAATAATTTTTTTTTAAAAATCTACAAAACATTTATTAATCAATAGCTGTTCTGTTTATTCACAGGTGGAAGGGATGAAGGGATATACAGGTGGTACATGACACCAGTCAAGCTTGCAAAAATCTATCATTTGCCCGATAATAAATGTTGGAAATGTAAAGAAACTGAAGGTACATTCTTTCACCTTTGGTGGACGTGCCCAAGGATTAAGGCTTTCTGGGAGATGATTTACAAGGAAATGAAAAGGGTATTTAAATATACCTTTCTGAAGAAACCAGAGGCCTTTCTCCTGGGCATGGTCGGCCAAATGGTGCCAAAGAAGGACAGAACTTTCTTCATGTATGCCACAACAGCAGCAAGAATACTTATTGCAAAGTATTGGAAGACACAAGACCTACCCACTCTGGAAGAATGGCAGATGAAGGTGATGGACTACATGGAATTGGCGGAAATGACTGGCAGAATCCGAGACCAGGGAGAAGAGTCGGTGGAAGAAGAGTGGAAGAAATTTAAAGATTACTTACAGAAATATTGCAAAATTAATGAATGTTGGAATGATGTTGGAATGAAGTTAGGTGGTTTAAGCAGTAATGCTATAAAGGTGTATGTAAAGAAGGATTGCTAATAGATGAAAATTTAAAGTTATAGTATATTAAGTTAAAGGATCAAGAGAAAACAAAGAGGGAAAGAAATTGCTGACTTAACTAATTGAACTGGAACACAAAAAAGGGAGGTATGAGGAGGTCAGGGTACAAGGATATGAATGTAAGCTATGGAAAGATTGATCCATTTTTCGTTTTTCTCTTTTTAAGCGTCTTTTATTCTTTTATTCTGTATTTTGTATTCTGTATTTATTTTTTGTATTTTTACTTTTTGTTTTTCTGTAATTCTTTTTTTCTCTGACATTTTAATAAATATTATTTTAAAAAAAAGAAGAAGAAGGGATAAACGAAAGCTAACTTGGCCAGATCCAACTGTACGCTGGCTGAGGGGACCTGCTCATGCACTTCAACAAATTTATGTGTTGTAAAATCAAACAACACTGGTAAGATTAAGGATGACTGTTTGTAAGGTAGGGTGGAATGACTAAATCCTTCAACTATCAATCAAAATTTCTTTCTTTCTTTCCTTCCTTCCTTCCTTCCTTCCTTCCTTCCTTCCTTCCTTCTTTCGTTAAGGTCACATTTGCCTTACCCCAAACCCTGTTCAAACACCAACCAGCCTTAACTGGGAAGCTCACAAGTATTTTATCTGCTAAGGATTCATCTTTTACCTGTTTTTCTCCCCTTCCTAGATCTTCAAGTTCCTTGTTGAACTGATGCCTGTTGCTGAAGGGCTCAGCTGCAAAGTGTGAGGCTGATGCTGCCTGTATTTATAGATGCATGCACTGTTCAGGAAAGGGTAAGTACCAGCTCTCTGTGGGGAGGGAGGAGATAAAGGAAGCAGAGGGGAGCCTAGGTGGCGGGGGATGGGGTGGCAGTAACAATGAGAAAGGGGAACGGGACATTCCGATTCAGTGGAACAAGGAAATAAGAAACTAGAGGCTGCGGTTTGTGAGAGATGTTGTTATCAATTGATCTCATGCCAGTTTTTGGAGAGACCTTTTAGGCAACATCCGCCATTTGGTCACCCTGTTCCCACCCCTGACTCCCACTCATGTTCCCTCCAAAAATAAACACTGGAGACCTCGATTTTGTTTGCTAATAGATGTTATGTTGAATAGGCGTGGGCGGTTTTTTGTTTTTGGTACATCTAAAAGAAAAAAGCATTGAAGAAAGGCCAAAGTATTGCTCTGTTTTCCTTTGGAACGAGGCTGTGGGGGGGGGTGTCTTGTTGTCTGGGCAGCCCAGGACTTCCCTACATGTTGCCCAGGCTTGCGCCCCAGGAAGGCTACTTCGGTGCTGCTAAAGCAGTGGTCTGTCTTCACCCCTGGAGGCACATGCCCAGGGGTGTCTTAAGCATATGTGGTGCCAAGGTGCAAAGATCCACCCGGTGCCCCCCTCCCCAGGTTGCCCAGTCCCAGGCGTGCAGGAGGGTGGAGCCAGCCAGCCGCCTCAGTGTCTCGCTGGCTCGGTCACCCCCGAACTCACAGCACAGAGATGCCCGCAGCAGAAGAGCCTGCCACAGCACTCTGACAGATGGGTGGGCTCTTCCCCAGACTCAACTCTTGGGCCCCAGACTCTCGGCCAGGTGCCCCTGAGAGCCCGATGCCCGGGTGCCCCGTACTCCTAGCGCCTATGGGTAAGACGGCCCTGCACACATCATTGTCTCTTGAAACAGAAAGGCGCCAACAGCAGCAATATCCCTGCTTAATGGCCATGCCGGCTGAGGCTGATATCCTGAAACAGGGTCCCCCAACCCTGACCTGTGGACTGGGGCTTTAGCCTCCTGTGTCTAGCAGGAGTCTGTCCGTGTTTCATCAGTGCCTTCATGGACTTGGTGTGGGGAGTCCATATTACACCACCATCCCCACAGTAGTTGGACCTGCTGCTGCAACCTAGTCACGATTCAAAACAGACCTGAGGCAGGTTCCTAGTGCTCTTTAGTGTTACTCAGTTTATACATTGCCTTCCACTAAAAGAAGGGTCAAATAGGAGAACTACTTCAAAATGATTTACAGATGGTATTTAACTCCGAGTAGGCTTGCTAAGATACATAAGATTGAATCAGATAAAAGCTGGAGATGCAATGAGATTGAAGGAACATTCTTTCATATGTGGTGGACCTGTTAAAGGGTAAAAGAGTTTTGGGAAATAATTCATAATGAATTGGGGGGGGGATGTTTTAAAAGTGCTTTTCCAAAAAACACACACCCTAGATAATTCAGAAATTCCCAGGTGTCTAAAAAGGTTATTTATGTAGGCCACTACTGTGGCCCCTGTTTTGTTAGCCCAAAAATGGAAAATGAGCAAGGTCCCTACTAAAGAAGAATGGCAACTTAAGCTGATGGAATATGTGCAGCTTGCAGACTTAACATATAGAATAAGAGAACAAGA